GAGAGAGAGAGAGAGAGAGAGAGAGGGAGAGAAAGAGAAGAAGAGGGGGAAGGGGAATGAACTTATCAAGTCTGGACAGTGAATAAGCTGTTAGATCATAAGCGAGAAATAACTATACAGCTTGCTTGATTCGTGAATTTAGTGCTTTAGTGGGACTTAGAATCGGCATTTAAGTTTGGAACTTAATTTCGTTAAGCCAAAAAAAACTCTTGCGGTTTTGTGGACAAAACTTCTGGGAACTCCAATATTCAATAATTAATCCTTTAAAAATCGATTTGCTGGATAAGAATTATAAATTGATCATTCATTAATATGGTTTTTTCTAATGTTATTAGCAGATATCATGTTCTTTGCTTCTTTATATCAAGAGAAAATTTTTTCTTCTGGAATATTGATTATTCTTTATGAGTTCCTAATTTGAATTAGCTTTTCTTTATTATCGATCACACTAAGTTTACTGTCCGAATGTTTAAAGTTTATGACGACTTCGTCAATTCTATTCACTTTGATTTTTCAAAGTCTTAAAATTGCGGATTGTTGCTCTTTCCTTTTTTGAAATTCTATTCTATAGACGTAACGTAGTAAATATTATTGAATATTTTGATGTAAGCTTGAAATGAAACTGGAAGAGATTCTTCATAGATAAGCTGGAATTAGTTCTATATATTAGTCAATAATGAATATAATGTATTATTTGCTTTAAAGTAGAATATCTTTCAGACAATCATTCGAGACAAAGAAAACGAATTGACAAACGTACGAGCAACGATGGAACAAAATGAAGAGATTGTCGTAAAAGTTTATATGGAAAAGGAAAGACTTTGGAAAGAACAACTTGCTGATCTCAAGCAAAAGTTGCAGGTCATTTTTCCTGGTATTGATAAATTAAAAATAAGTTTTTTGTCGTTGGTTTTACAGGAAGAAATAAATAAGGTAATGTTCGCCATTTACTCATTTGTATTCTTATTCCAATCGAAGTCTACAAAAGATTTTCTATGCATTATATTGAACCAGTAATTATAATTTAGTAATTGCTAAATTGATTTAGGCAAGCCAACAAGGAGAAAACGCACTACGGCAACAAATTCAACGATGTAACGAAGAACGAGAACAATTCCGAGTTACAATACAGAATCTTACCAGTGATAAGCAAGGATTGCAACGCAAGGTTATTAGTCTTCTCTCTTTCTTCTTGAAACAAAGTGAGTCGTTCTTATACCTTATAAATCGTTTTTTAGTGAGCTTCAAGGGACTTAAAAAACTGATGCTATTTTAGATAATTGCTAAGAAAACATATGGCACCTGAAATTTGAAGATCACTAAGCTGTTCATCTTTTTTATGTAATGTTATAATGCTAAGTAGGCTTAATCTCAAAAAAATAAATTTTCTGGTCTTCATTAGATTGTATTTTGTAGTGTTTGCAAATAGAACGTGAATTGTTCCAACTGCGTGAATCTTTCGATGAACTCATCCGAAATCGTGATGAAACTGCCTGCGGTCGATGTCGTAAACGTATTACATGTGATGTTACTGCAGCAAATGCCAATAACAGTACTGCAGACAAACGTGTTAAACCTCCACTGCCAACTCCACGATATTCCAAGGTTCGTAAATATACATTCTTATGAGGAAAATTTATGTGTTTGTCATGCGATCTTTGTGTTCATTTTTTTTTTGCATATCTTTGATCTTTGACAAAAAGTTCTCTGTAAGTTGAATTTGTTGCAAATATAAATTCTGATACCACTTTATTTTTTCTTCAATTTTACGTTAGCTTTGAAATAAAGCACAAGAACTGGATTTTGATGTTATAACAGTAAATAATGTCTAGGAATCGTCGTCAGAACGTGAATTACGTGGTGAAGTCGAAGAGCTAAGAGAAGAAGTGTCAACTTTGCGTGATACACTTAATGAACAAATTAGTCGCTTTACTGACGAAAGGAAACGCTGGGAAGAAGAACGAATTAAGGTGCTTATTTCAAGTTTTCGTCATCGTGTTTTGCGCAAAAAAAATCTTATTGATAATATGGAAATAAGAGAATTTTATAAATTATACAATCGAAGTTTCACTGTATAAGTGGCAAACGAACAAGAAATTTTTTAAAATACTCTTTCTATGAAAGTAGTGATACTTGTGTAAAGACTTTATGGCAGTCTAGGAAAGTTTTATATTTGCATTTCTCATGAACTATAACAAATTGCTCAAAATGCTCCCCTGTCCTATCCTGTTTTAAATAATTGGAAAATTAAAACGAATAATTCGTAAATCGGTAGTGTTGATTTGTGCATCAGGATAACTCTTAAATGAATTTGGCTCCTGTAGACTTTCTTTTATTATTGCAATATAATTTTAAGACAAACCACAATATAAATTGAATTAATATAATTCGATAATTTCGAGAATGTTGAGTTTTAAATTTACAGATCTTGAAGTCCAGTAACTCACCATCAAATCGACTGGGTTTCTTGTCGACGAATGATTCTTCGTCGGCGGATATAACTCCTGAATTATCCAAAGACTTGAAAATTCTAACCGATGGTAAATCATACATTGTTAGCCATGATCGCCTAATTTGATATACTTTAGGTAAAAATTTCCTCCTTTCTCATCATACTGTTATAAGTTTATTGTAATCTTTATTTTTATGTGCATTTATTTGATTATTTTTCGATATCCTATTTCTGCTTAATTGAGATGGTTTTCAAAAGGATGCTTTTTTCCAATAAAATGACTACATTTTGTCATTGGATTAAAATTTATCATTTTTGTATATTACCAGGTAGTTCTTTTTGCCATATCAAAGTTATTCAATTCGTTGGTTCGGGAAAAAAATGCTTTTTATGTGATTTATTACATTTTTTCATACTCTTTGATTGCCGGCTTTACATTCTGAACAAACAATCCCACAATGATTTTGATACTTCAAGATACCATCGAATATGATCATGCTTGGGCGTAAAATTAAAGCAATGGCTTTGAAGCTTCATACCAAATTCGTCGATTAAGCACTTTAGAAGTTTCTGATCAAATTTCGAAATGAAAAAAATAGCTGCTAAAGATAGTTTGAGTTTGATGTCATTCTAACGGTATAATCCTTTCTAATGGAAATTATCAGAGATTTGAATAAAATCGTAAAATGTTCGGATAAAATTTTCTGATGTAAATCATCAAACTTGAACAAAAAATCATCAAAAAAAGAAAATGATAAATTGGAGTGTGGTAATTTACATGATAACCACGCTGGTTCTTCCGACTAAAATAGATGCTTCGACAATGCGAGTATTATTGCTGTAAATGTTCACAACAAACAGAATCATTTATTTGATTTTTTTTTTAATTTTGATTGGATGTTCAGTCGATGATCCGTTTCAATGTTTCCAGTATTATGACTATTATGACTATCAATATTTTGTAACAATTTTACGAGAGTTTTTTATTGAAATAATCATTGCACGAAATTGGAGCGAGGAAGAAAGAGAGAGAACAGGACTAGAATGATTTGTAATTTTGGTAAACAAAACAGAATCCATGATACACAGAACAGTTTAAAACTGTAAAATGTGTAATAAGAGTTTGGAGCATGAAACGAAGCTTTATGAATTGAGATACAATCGAGTTAATAGAAACCATTCATAGTGAGATTTAACGAGACCGTAGTTATGATTGTTGATATATGTGTGTGAAAGATCACACATTATGATATCGCAGCATTTACATTTCATATTATTTCTGTAATCAATGATAAGAAAATGTTAAGCAGTAACTGATAAGCATTTTCAAAGTCAATTGAAAGAAATATAAATAATCTTTTATAGCAATTTCTTTTTTAATTTAAATAATCTAACATTAAGTTCACATATGAAATAAAAAATCATTTTGCCAAGTAATCAATAAAATGTATATGTTTTTGGTTATATTGACAGAATTGTGAAAATATAACTGTTATTTTCAGATTGAATTAAAATTGAACATTTTCAAAGTATATCATAAAATAATGCTTTTTTCAATTAGCAAATATTCCAATGAATATTATTCCGGTATTATTCTGTCCGGATCGAAAATCCGGATCAAAAAAAAAGAGTAAAATAAATGCATAAAATATGTGAATTATTGTTGTTAAAATTAATTAAAAGTTAGAAGAAGGATAGAAGGATATTGTAAAAAAGCTTCTTTAACAATGAGGTAATTGTGCCTTCTGCAAAATAATTTCAGTAGTGAATATCCATCAGAATAGAACAAGTTTTTTTTCACCATTTTAATCTCTTCATTTTAAGTTTGTCACTTAGTTCATTTGTTCCTTTACATCTCTTTCCTAATTCTTCTTTTAACTATTATTTTTAATTTAAAAATAACAATCGTTAATTTTATCCTTTTTTATTCTTGTAAATAAAGCTTTCTCATTTGATGAAATATTTTTACTGTTATTAAAAAATGAATAATTATTTACAATCAAATAAATAACTATTCATTTTGAACAGAATTTTATTCAATATCCGATCCGATCCGATCCGATCCGATCCGAAAAAAAGATATCAATTTCATCAAACTATTTATTCATTCAACTTTAAATTGGAATAATTGAGGAATTAAATGGGATTAACTTAAATATTCAAATATTATAGAATTTTTTCAATGAATTAATAATTAGATATTATAAATTGAATTTCTTTTCATTTATTGCTGACAAATTTTATTTATTTCTCTTCACTTTTATGATAATTTTTCAGACATTTCTTTCATACAAAATTTGGCACATTTAATTCTTTTACCTTTCTTCATTCCCCTCTTGTGACATTCAATTTAATCGCTATAAATTGATTTCATAAATTTGGGATCGTAATTAATAACATGAGCCAATCTAGTTTCATCATGCGTTACAGGAAACAAGGTGGTCATTCTATTGTTCATGACCTTCTCTTATAATTTTTTTAAATGTTAGTTTTATAACTGTAGAAATACACAAGTGTTCGGAAGTATTGAAAATTTTATTAAGAGTAATGTCGATGGACAGCTATCGCCTATTTTCCCTATCGCATTGAGAAAAAAAGGAAATGTCCATTTTCCAGTTTTTCTTTCGGACAAAAAACACTTTGTTTAGAATTTCCTTTTATAACAGTAATTATTTATCATTAATTTTTCCTTTCAACTATTTCATATTTTCACATTTATAAATAGTTATTAACTCAAAATTCCTCCAAAAAAAAGGAAAATCAATTTAAGAAAAAAGAAGAGAATTGAAGTTAAAATTTAAATAAATCATTAATGAAAATTAAATTTGATATTTTATTATCATCAATTATCTAAATTTTAATAATAAATGAAAACTACTGTGGTAATAATTATTGCTTCAACCAGCAAATGAGCCAAATATTCTGTTGATTAAAGAAAAATTTGAATATTTTAAATGATACGTGTACTTGTTGTTTGTATATGTGATAATGTTTGATATCATAAATTAATACTAAAATTGATATACCACAAACGAATTATCATTTCAGTGATGCTGGTCCGATGAATAACCATTGTTGTTTTTATTGACCCAGCCAGTTTTTATCAATTTTCAATATATTTTTTCACTTGTTGTCGTTAACATTTTTTTTCTTCAAAACTACCACATTCTTCGTAAATATCCGATTTGGCGAAATAATTTTAAAATTTCATAGTCTTATTTTTATTTTATTTTTGCACAAAAATCTTTCACAAGTTATTTATTCTGCACAAAAACCTTTCACAAGTTATTCTGCACAAAAATCTTTCACAAGTTATTTTGCACAAATCACAAGTTATTCTGCACAAAAACCATTCACAAATTATTTTGCACAAAAAATCTTTCATAAGTTAAAACAAAAATTATGGAGTAAACAGAACAATGAGGAAAAAAGGAAAAGTAATTTTTTACGCTATTGTTTAAATTTGATGTTAAATTAAGAAAAAAATTCAAAAAAATTGTCACAACTGTAATTTATAACCAACAACCACAACTGTATTCGATCTTCAAATTTTTGTTCAACAACAATAACAAATTCATTGTCAACATTCCATCCTGTCTTATGTTGTAAAATGGTAGGAAGAGTTTTATAAATCTTTTTGTATGTAAAGATAACAGCTGTCAACTATTAATGCTTCCGTAAAGAGTTGTTGTTATAGCCAATAAACTTTGCATCTTTCATTATGGGAAAGAGATTATTCGTTTATTATATTTTATAAATCTTTTGAAAATTTTCTTAAAATTAATTTTTGCTTTCCATTTTATAGGTTGTTACCTCGAAATAAGCGTAAAAAAGATATCTTAAAAGTTAACTGCCAGAAATGAAAGATAAAAATTAAAGAAAATTTTACATTAAATCATTATAAGGAAATATTAAGTGTTGCTGCTTAAGGAAATTTTCGTAAGATTAATTTAAAGTAATTCAAAATGATTCACTCATGTAATTTTATCTAATTATGCTCAAAAGATAATTCACAACTTGGATGAAGTAGTGTGGATACAGCGATACAATCAATGATTGTATCTTTCACTACCTTTATGATCAATTCAATTCAATTCCTCCATTCGTTTGAAATATGTCTAATTTTCTATTTCACTGCTTACTTTATATATGCTATAATTTTATTATAGTTTTATATTAGATATGAGTTCAATCAAATTTTGAACTAATTTGAGAACTTAGATATATATACATAAGTCATTCAAATAGAGAAGCAAACGAAAATTTGATTTCTTTTTATTCAAAACTACATGACAGCTTCATTTGTTATGACAAACATTGAAAAGTGTTACAAGAACTCTTCTAGAGGTTAATCTGAAAAGTGCAATGCTTAATATTTCGAAAATAAACCGATGATAAGTTTTTTGTGTACTACAGATTAAAAAAGTTTTTAGCAACACTTCAATTCAAAATTTATGATCATCAGATTTTACTAATTTGTATGCTTAAAATAAAGCTTCTTTCTAATATGTAATTTGAAAATGCATTATTGTAATATCATAAAATATAGAAGCAATGGAAAATGAAGCAAACCTTGCATAACACTTTTGAACAGTATATTGTCAACAAAAATAGCTTGATATTGGATCGGATCTGAGATTGCACGATTTTTCCATCGTCTCTCTCTCTCTCTCTCTCTCTACTCTCTTTCCCTTTAGAATGATTGTAATTCCAAACGATATAAAAGATCAGAAATTTAAATATGTTAAAAATAGTTGACAAATATTTTGACTTTCCTTCTATTAATATTATCCATAACTATTTTACTACAATGTAGTATTTTCTACGTTTTATTTCCACGAAACTTTATTTCCACAAATCAAAGTTTTTTTCACCGTTTTTTTCTTGATATAAATGTTTATTTTTCATTTCAGAGTTTATCGTCCACTTTCCAGCATGTTTCTACCCATCGACAAATATGTATGTTATTTTGAACTTTGAATATTCTTCAATAAAAATAAATGATAAAGTCAATAATACCAAGTAATTAGTCAGATTTTAGTTGCCAAATTTAAAAAGAAAAAATTAATTCTAAGGAGCTAAATTCTTGTTAAACTCTAGAAATATGATGTAAATGCTATTTTTGTAATTAAAATATTAAATAATTTAAAGGACAATTATCTGTTCGTGAAAAATGCGGAAGAAATTAATCATATAATCAATTAGCAAATTTTAAAATAACAAAATTTTTGCATAATATTAATTATAATTAATGGATTTCTCTAATTAACTATAAATTAATAAATTTCTAAGGGATGATAAAAATTGCAAAAATTTTATGAAGCATATTGAATATTTTAAAATTTATATCAAAACTAATTTTAGCAATAATATACCATATTACTTTAACAAAAAAAGAAATCCTATGCAATTACACTATAATAATTTGAATTGACCGGTTTTTGTTTAAAACCGGATAAACCTTATTGAATTTACAATTAGCTATATGTGGGGATGGAATTTTTTCTTTTTATTAAATTTTACTTTTCAGTCATTCACATTTACATCCATAACAATTGCTTTCATTAAAAGAAAAATAATTAATGGCAGATACAGGAGGAATAGATGTACGAAATTTGTAAAATAATTAAAGATGAAAAAACATTTCATCAAAAATAATATGCGTAATTGTCGCAATTAATGTCTTTCATTTGTTTTTGTCAAATATTTTCCTCTTTGTTTGTTTTTCGCTTTTTTCCCGATAATGGTCAACTAGTTCTTAGTGACAGATTATTTAATCACATTATATATGAAAATGCTTTAGTGAATGATAAGTAAAAAAGTAATCAAACATTTCCTTCTATTTCATCTCAATTGAACAATGATAAATCCGATTATTTATCATTAAAAGAAACCTGCTTTGAAATAAATTTTAATATTCAAAGTCGATTCAATCACTTTTCATTCAAACTTTCCAACAACTATGTAACACTAAATATTAAACTAACTGAATTACATTAAACTGTACTAAACTTAGAGTTTAATAAGAATGAAATAATAATTTTACTATTATTTTAAAAATTAAAATTTAATTAATGTGCCTTACAATATAACAATATGTATCATAGCTTTTTACAACACAGATTTCCGATTGAGGAAGTCAAAAAATAAATGATTGCTCTTCCTATTGCTATTCCTTAAATATAGTTTAGAAGGTAATCAATCGACAATTCGATCGACATTTGAGCTTTTTTTTTCGATTCAGGAAAAACTGATTAATCGTTACAGTATGAGATGTATCATAATAGTAAGGCATAAATTAGCGCATTGTTCTTCTTGGAACCATTCGTGCAGCTAATTTATTGGCTGCTTGCATTAAACTCACAAAATTTTTCAACATTTAAAAATGTTGTGAAAATTATTTTGCGCTTACGTTCACATAATTTCATTTGAGAAAGTTGAAAAAGTATTACAACCTGGAAAAAAAGGAATAAGTCTGATATGATAAGGATGTATTAATATAAGCATAGATTATTATCAATCATTAGCTAAACTATTTCTATCGCTATAAATAACCAAAAGTTAATTTGGCAAATTTAATTTTCACCTTATTACTAGAATCTGAATTTCAGCTGTTTACTCCTTTTTTTCTGCTTCTGGAAATTATCGTTTGGGAGTGTGGTAGAGCAAATGGTTATAAAATTGAAGCACAAAGCATGTACAGCAATGCAGGAACGCTTAGGGATAGTGATCTTCTCAGTAGAGAAATTCAAAAACGTGCTAGTGGATTGATGAATCAACCGATGGCTGTGAATATTATGGCATCGCCAATTAGCTTTAATTATAATCAAGCTATTCCTGGGAGAATTGCTCAACCGGGGTAAGTTTTCCGTTGTGATCTTTTGTTAAAAATATCCATTGAAAGAAGGATAGTTATTTTATTTTAAGCATAGAAAAAAGAAAGCAATTTTAATTTGAATTCAAAATACAGAAATTTAAATATATCTAAATATTTAAGATTGGAAAAACTCTTCCTAACAGTTTATTAATTATATTATAATATCTTTCTTTTATTTTCTCAGTTAGTTAAATATTTGAAGATACTTTCAAATTATTACAATTAAAACTCATTTTTGGAAAATTCATTAAGAAATTATAAATAATTTTAAGGTTCTAGCATATGGAGAATTCAATTCAAAATGATAAAAACATTTTTATTACGATATCAAACCATAGATAATCACAAACAAAAATTACAATATGAATCACTCGTTGAAAATGCATCGTTGAAAATTTTTATTAAACGATTGAAAATGAGTTTTCTGGCACTATTAGTGAATATCCAAACTTTATATATTTGCCTTAGACTTGTCCATTTTGCACAAAAATCTATTCAACTATTGATTTTCAACTATTAAGTTACATACTTTTGCGCACACTCCTCAGGAAGTACTTTTGCGCTCGGGAAGTACTTTTGCGCTCATTCCTCAGAAAGTGCTTTTGTGCTTACTTCTCAGGACGTCATTGTGATCAGAGACAAGTAAAAGAAATTTTAAGAAGACAAATTTTTAAACTTCAAAAGACTTTCTTCAAAAAAAAATTATCTGAAGCAATTACAATTTTGCTGGTAGGAATTTATTCAAACTGTATTCTCGAAGGAAACAATTACACATGCAGTAGTTATATTATTTCCAGGATAAGCGGTTATGGGAGAGATGGTAATATGATAGGTCATGCAGGTGCGTCAGCGGTAGTAGATTTTAACCCAGCTCTTCTTCGTGGATATCGCGGGCAACCAGGCATCAAAATTCGTATCAATCGGCGTTCTTTCCAATATGCAACTACATTAGCACAGATAATTCTTAATCGTGAAATTGTAAAATTTGAAATACCGGATATAACTCAAAATATTAAAGAGGTATTTTACTTTCAAAAAATCATATCTCATCTTAAAAAGTAACAGAAATATTCAAAATATAAATATCATATCTTATCTTAAAAATCACATCAAAAATCATTTCTTTAAATTTATATAATATTAACCAATCATAGTTAATGTAAATGTAAAAAGAAAGTGTAAATGAACTTACATATAATTTACACGCATGCTTACGGCAATATACTTTACTAAAATAATTTCAGTTTTACCTTGAAGTAACGATATGTAATATTTATATTTCAAATTATCGACAACCTGAATGTTTGGTTATTTTTCCAGCACCACCAAATCAAATTGTTTTTACTGTAAATGACTTCGATATCGGGTAAAATCGATTAATAAACTTAAAATTGCTGATTTATATTTTAGTATGTTTTTAGTTGCTCAATTTCAAGAATATTCTTCATCATTCAATATTTTCTTAAATAATTACCGAAAAACTAGCATACTGATTTTTTGCTGATGTGATTTAAAATAATAAAATAGCAATTGAAATATGTAATTTTCTATGTTGCAGACTGGCTGGTAACTTAGATGGTGTCATCAATGCCATATTTCCAATTCAGATTTTTGGAATTGTTCATGTTAATTTCTATCATGTTAGTACCAACTTCATATTATAGTTTAAGGAATCCATTAAAAAAATATATATCCTATAATCAAACAATAACCTATTTCCAATATAAAATCAGTTGTCGTATAATCATCTTTTTTGACTAACCTATTTAAAATAACCAGCCATCTCTTAGCGAAGCTCATTAAATTTAATTATAAGTATACCTGAGTTAATAATTTCTTGGATTGTTTTTCTCTCTCTCACATAATATCACGTTTTAATTTTTTTTCCTACACCATATATTTATATGATCATTAAATGAGCAATATTTTGATGATTCTCTGAATAAATATTTAAACGCAATCGAAGACTGATTGATCAATTCAGAAATTATATCCTATCCGTCTATTTATTTCTCAAACACTTCCTTTAGCAATACATTACTATTGTATTCTATTTTACTAAATAATATTTTACATATTTTAATTTTACTCAACTCAATTATTTATTGATTATTAATATTCCAGATGTCGGTTAGCATAACATTAAAAGTAATACGTTCGATATATGGGACACCTCAAGTAGTCGTCTGTGGTTGTGCGGTAGAAATACCATATGCTGATGTGTGTATTGAAAATGGTGGCTTATTAGGTGAAATTGCAAATTTATTTTTTCGGGTAAGATTTTTGAAAGAAGGAAAATTTGGAATAATTTTAATTTTTCAGAAAATAAAATTCTTTTTTTAAAAAAAAAGATAATAAGCTTGAGAAGAAATATTTTAACTCTATCAAAATTAATTTTCATATTTCCAATTTATATGCATTCTGCAAATTTAAAAGCCAACTAAAAATTTCATGAAAGAAAATAGTAATTAACTATTTAGAAAACTATTTCTGAACGGGTACGTTCTATTGCACCAAATGCCATTTGTGGAATGTTGCCAACAGTAATCAATGAACGGATTAATCCTATATTAGCTCGCATACCACAATCAATTTCATTTATGCAAATAATAAACTTATTCAAAGGACTTCTCGGAGGATCAAAACCAGCTCATGTTAGTGACTAAATACTTTTTATGATAGAAATAAGATAAGTAAAATTTTGATCTAAAATATCTGAATTTGAAAAGAAAGAAGAAAGCGAAAGAAGCAAGTATTCCTGTTAATATTGAAATAAAAATTAATAGGAGACAAATAATAGAATAATAGATATGTAAAGGATTCAGGTGCAATTAATTAGGTTAATTAAATAATAGTTGTGGTTATACCCGATAATTTACTGTGAAAATGTGTAGAATTTGAATTTGAGTTATCTCTACAACAAATAATGCTATAAATAGTAAAGAGAAACGCTTGCAAGTTAATTTGTTGGCTCATTTTGAATGCCGCACAGATAATAAAATTTCTTTTCTATGCATTTTAAACTTTATAAAGTTAGTTTCAGTTTACAAGCTTTCACGTTGCAGCAAATTATAAATCAAATTTCGAATCGTTTACAAAATACGAAAAGTATGGTGCATGTAAAATAATGTAATATATTTTTAAATGTAAGAGAAAATTATCAAAAATTATCATTAATAATACTTCAGTGTTATTCACCACAATGCCAAGCACGTTTATCGGTGGCAAAATTACCACCAAGCTCTAGAGGTATTGGTGTTTCGCCACCAAGAAATCCACCGCCACTACCACTATCGCCATCATCACCAACATTCACGATGGCAAAATTACCACCAGGCTCTAAAGTGATTGATGCTTCGCCGCCAAGAAATCCACCACCACTGCCATTATCGCCATCATCACCAACACCCACGGTGGCAAAAATACCACCAAATTCTAGGGGTATTGATGCTTTGCCGCCTAGAAATCCGCCGCTACTTCCACTACCGCCATTATCATCAACATCCAAGCAAAATGCCAACAGAGTTGCAAGTTCTAAAACTAGTATTGCCAAGATTGCAGCTTCTGTTCCAACTCATGTAGCTGCACAGCAAGTGCAACCAAAGTTTCGAAACAATATTAAAGAGAAAGAAAAGAAAACGGAATCATTTGGAACCGTTACCAATAATGGTGAAATAGTTGGTAATGGAACTTCAACTATCAAAGAAAAGAGTAGCAGTAATGGATTAGTGACAAAAAGTAATGCGCAATATTACAATCAATCAACCCAATCAACTCAAAGGGTATGATATTGTTTTGGCTTACATGAATTATTTCACTGATCATATTATATTTGAATTGATGATACTTATTATATTTTTACTGATAACAGATATGCTCAAAGATATTCACCTTCTTTTTCTTTCCCTTTTTCGTATCTAATTAATCCATCAACACACAATTAGTTCATGTTTATCAGAGATATTTAAATCACTTTCAGAGAATTGTTGGTATATTCATTTGGCAATAAGAATAAAGTGAACTTATGGGAAGACAAAAAAACAAAAAGAAAATAAAGGGTGAACATATTGAAATTAATTCGAAAATATAATTGAATCGAAGTGCTTTTTCAGATTCTCAGTATTGTTGCGCATCCTTTTGCAAGAACAAAATCAGAAATGGAAGAATTAGAAAGTTTGTTATCGGACATACGAAAAGATATTATAAATTTGTCAAGAACTGTCCAATCATCATCCATGCAACAATCACAACAAACTGCAACGCTTCGTTTGTCACCGGAAAAATTGTATCAACAGCAGCAACAGCAGCAGCAGAATCAACAGCGATTATCGCAGCAGCAGAATCAACAACAATTATCGCAACAGCAGAATCAACAACCATTATCGCAACAGCAGAATCAACAACAATTATCGCAACAGCAGAATCAACAACCATTATCGCAACAGCAGAATCAACAACCATTATCGCAACAGCAGAATCAACAACGATTATCGCAACAGCAGAATCAACAGCAATTGTCGCAACAGCAGAATCAACAACGATTATCGCAACAGCAGAATCAACAACGATTATCACAACAGCAGAATCAACAACGATTATCGCAACAGCAGGAGCAAAAAACCGCTCAGAAATTACTTCGTCATTCATCCGCAAAGCCTTTAGTGCACAATTCAAAAATAATCGCAACTTCTAATCAATTGAACAGCAGAAAACCATCAGATCAATTTAACAGAGCAGCATCGGTAGTATCGTTTGCTGTACCACTTGCTAAAGGATTTGATAAAATTTCTGGTGATTTCAAATTACGTGCCGAATCTGTTGGTGGAGTTAATGATTTCAGAGGGAAGATTAATGATCCATGTGCTGGATGTACACCTGACGATTCATTTGATGCTTTTCGCAATCTTATCATACAGCAGCTCGATCTGGTACCATATTTAATCCTTTTTTTTTGTCCTATGTTATTTATATTTTAGGATAGATAATAACTTTAGAATCAATTATCTGATCAATCAATATTATTTATTGCTTTGATTCTTTAATTCACCAATAAAGATTTTTGATTTGCAATGAATACTTCAAAAGGAATGGTTTCTACTTGCTTATTTCTAATTGGTTTTCTCCATTATTAACATTAGACTGGAAAATTCATATTTTATGCTTATCACAATTTAAAATCCTAAATGTTTTAAAATTCTTTTGCAGAGGAAAGTGGCAAATCTCTTTTTAACGACCCAATTGCTACAATCTCATGCAACATTCTATGATTATAGCTTAGACTTAAATGGTGAATTCAGTCCTAATGGACGTGGTGGCACTCCATTTGGCCCATTCCCAATGCAATGGCCTATATCAGTTGGATCATCAATGATTGAAATTCTAATTAGCGATTTCACCATCAACTCTCTTTTATATTGGATACATAAGTATATTATTTGCAACACTTTCGATTAAAAGAGTTACTGCTACAGGAAATTGTAATTTTCCCAATGTATAGGCATATAGAAAAATTTTGATTAATTTTTTATACCTATTCTCATTCCTTTTTTCTATCTCATTCTTTTCTAATATTAATATGTTGATAAGGAAATATTTTTAGGAGTAACTTCTTCTCATTTCGTATAGGACCAGAAGCACCCGGTATTGGAACATTATTAACAACAGGATGCGATATCAGCAATGATAATTTTTCAGTTCGTTTATCTCTTCATTTTTTTTTAAAAGAATGAAAGATAGCGATTGTCATTCATTCATTCATTTGTATAGATGAAATATATTTCTGATCTGTTTTCTTGATGTGATGAATATTCAAATTTAAATCTTAATTGGAAATTAAATTCGAAATGATCAGATAAACTTGATAGAAGTTATACATTGTCATTTGTGTGGATAATTAATAGAAATATGATTGACTTTATTTTTAATTTATTATCATCTTAATTTGCATTGTTTTGCTTTAATAAAAATTAATAAAAATTAATGAAAATTTTCTAGGAAGAAAACGAAAACGAATCACTATTTATTCGCTTGTTACGTTTGACTGAACGTCGTCATCGTTACTATCATTATCATCAGAAACGTAGCAAGCGTCAAATGATTACGGGTGGTGATTCAAGTCTAGGAAATCTAGCTGATCTTGGTATTTGTCTGGGTGATATTTTACCAGCTGTCAAAGAGGAATATCCGAACAGTACATTAGCCCTTTTTATACATTCAGCGCGAGCACCTTCAATTATAATTAGCAGACGCGGTGGAGGTAAATATTACTGTATTGATTGGTAGTAGCTTTGAATTCTCTCACTTTTTTTTGTCAAAGACTTTAAAATTTTAATTTTTAAAGATTTTAAAATCAACCTTATTTTTAGGCAGTATACAAATAGATTTGACAGCATTTATTGACATCTATTTGGATAGAACAAACGTACGAGTTGGTACGATAACAGTGATAGCAGTTGGTGATATAATGCTTCGAATAACAGGTCAACGAATCAGTGGTAATGCAACATTACCGATTTTCAAATTACTGGATCGAGATCAAACATTGGGCTTGTCACAGGATGCACTTGATAATTTGGCTAGCTTAGCCAAGGATATCATTTTAAAGGTATATAATGCATCTTCGTCCCATAAACCTTATGGTAATCCATTTTCTTCCATATTTTTACTAATTAATTTACCATTATGGATCCATCTGTTAACTTTATTTTTCAACTTTGCTCCCATTCCAAAATTTGATGTCAATTTCAGGGAATCAATCAACAGCTCAACAGAGGTATGGAAATATCACTTCCAACATCAACTCTTCCGTTAAATATAATTAGTCCACGTATTGCAATACTTGAACACTCTATTCATATTGCTAGCGATTTCACAGCATCGTCATCAGCACTATCAATGCTTTCATAGAATCGGAATCGTCTTCATAGATGATACTACTGGTCATGCTTTTATGAGTATGTGAAACACGGCCTTCATATGATTTCATTCTTTTTAATTCATTGAATACAATCATCACTTATGTATAAATTCTATTTATTTTCCGGATTTTAATCTAGTCTAGACAAGTTGTCAACAACCTTGCTTTTAAATTATGCTGATGCGCTATTGTCATAGATTTTGTGATTTAAGAATAGTAACATCTCCAGAGCTTAATCTGCAGATGGGCATTGATTTCTTAAAGAATTTATATTTTTTAGCAGCATTAATGAGATTTTCATTCGGGTGATAAAATTGTAATTCCAATCATTAACTGAACACTTAATTAACTTTTGTTACTTTAGTTTCTCTCTTAATCGATTTCACAGTGTTCTCATTTTTGCAGTTGTTTAATTAGGATTATTAACCCGGCCTGCCTTCTCTCGTATTTTAAATATCACTAACTGATAATAAAATTTTAAAGAAAAAATTGGAAATTCTTTGTGAAAGTTAATATTTTTGAACTGTTGTTAATTTATTTACTTTTCAAAGTTGAATAAGTTTTAATGAAAGATTGATTATTTCCCCGAAAATTATATCAATCGTTAATAATTTCAACATGAACCACCTTTACTGTTCTTTTTTGCAATTATCTTTTCATTTGCCAGATATTGTCGTGATATTTACTAATGCTCACTATAACATTGCGTTTATACCATCTATAAGTACTTTTATTGTTAAACTAAAATCTTAAAAAGTTCTAGATTTTGTAATAGCTTGCAGATCAAATGCAGCACGTATCAATTACGATTGCATCAAGCATCTAAATGGGTAAAATGACCAATCACAAAATCGTAAAACTATAAAAAAAAATTGTTGTCACCAATAAACCGTGACAAAAGAAATCATTTAATGAAGCCAGATTGTTTTGCATCTGAAGTTACTTTTTTATTTTCCAACAACGACCACCACTCTCCTGCACAAACCATCCACTTCCAGTCTTAAAACAACGAACCGTTCCACGTATGAAACACCTTAGTCACTTGTTTCTCAGCGACACCAAGAGACATAGCAATTTCACACTTGACATAACCGTCCAGAATCTTGAATTACTCTTCATAGAAGACTAAATCGTGTCTTCTCTTCGGATAACTTCGCTCATTTCATACTTCGTGACCTCAGAAGTGTCTTGCAACTTGATGGATCTCAGATCGACGAAAATTCATACCATGACAATCCCGATCTTACCCTGATTCATCTCGACGTTTGTATGCTGCCGACTCCCAAACCGCTCAGAGTCTTGAATTACTCTTCATAGAAGACCAAATCATGTCTTCTCTTCGGATAACTTCACTCATTTCATACTTTGTGATCTCAGAAGTGCCTTGCAACTCGATGGATTTCAGATCGATGAAAATTTATATCATGACAATCTCGATTTTGCCCTGACTCATCTCGATGTTTGTATGCTGCCGACTCCCAAACCGCTCAGAATCTTGAATTATTCTTCATAGAAGACCAAATCATGTCTTCTCTTCGGATAACTTCACTCATTTCATACTTTGTGACCTCAGAAGTGCCTTGCAACTCGATGGATTTCAGATCGATGAAAATTTATATCATGACAACCTCGATTTTGCCCTGACTCATCTCGATGTTTGTATGCTGCCGACTCCCATAATTCTATGTGTCGTTCAGTGTGAAACGAATAAGAGAAAAAAAATTTATTCGAAATCATCGAAAAATACGAAATCGCAAAAAGCTTTTTGAAACAGCGAAATTTTTGCAGCGAAATTTTTGTAAAAAATCTATAAAAATTGCAAAAAAAATTATCATTGAAAGCGCTGCGAAATTACGCAAAAATTTTATTCAAAAAATAGCGATAAAATCGCCATTGATTTTACTGAGCATATAACTGCTCAAAACGGAAATGTTTGAGTTTTTAAGAACGAAATTTTTAAACCCAAACAGGGCTTATGAAATTATTCGCAAAAATTAGCCTTAACGGCTTTTATTTAAAAATTTCGTGAGAAGTGTGCCTTTCAAGCACCAAACCAAAATTTCAAATGTGTTTTATGTATATACACATATATATAGCATATAGAGGCCTTTTAGATTTAGAGCAGTGCCTACCTCAGGCTGTTCAGGTTAAAATAAAAAAGTAGATTTGCTACCTAACCTGAAACAAGCTCCTAATAATGCCGTCCCTAAAATACCAAATATTATGGCAAACAAGTAGAACGAAAAACCGAATACTTGGATCCTTCATCAGCCACCAGTAGCACACAGTGCAATAGATTAACTTTGTCTCAATTTATAATGAAAAACGTCCAAAACTTACCATGACAACCCAAATTACGAGCATTTCAACAAAATTGCTTCGACCCGATCTATTAGGTTATCAGTGGTTAAATCAAGCTTAACTCAAGCTACACCTGGATAGAATTACCTTAACTCTGGCTTACAGAGTCCCATCTTTAGTCCTTCAGTGTAACTGCATCAAAGAAGCCCACAAATATCTAAATTCAAAAGTAGAATCAAGAACACAGCAAGCACTTTTACCTACACTCCTTACCATCCCACACTATTACGCTTCTTTCTTCTCTACATTCTTCCCAAAAAATATTCCGAAATAAACGGATATAATGGAAGTGACACGAATGCCAACCACAGAAGTACAGCCTGGTCGATATTAATGAACAGAACGAGGAGTGCAGGCATTCAACCGTCCTAGTTACACCAACTCATCCTAAGCAACATTTTAAAATCTATCTTAAACATATGCAAACGGGAACCCGTCCAAAGAATCTTACAGCCTACCTAATTTAAATTGACGCACGCCACACGTCAATTAGAGCAGCTGCCATGGGAGACTAGTGCTTCCATAGCTCCAGAAGTCCTAAAATGAACTTATACTAGCCTACAAACAATGTCTACAAATTAACTAACTAATACCTACAGAAAAACTAATTATTGAATGAATGCTGAAGTACCTAAATGCCTGCACGATTTATCACATTTCGACCAGTTGTCTTACTTTTCGTTGACAAACACGACATCCATTCATGCCCGACCATTTCAGAAACAAAACGTTTTAAAAGGGAACGGCTTATGACATCCTCATTTGGAATCGGGCAAAGACATACCAAGAGACTGATGATCATTGGAAGGAAAGAAAAGCAAAGGAGAAATGGATCACAATAGCATTTTGTTCATGCAATACTGACCGTATGATAGAAATGCACTAAAGGCGAAAGTCAAAGCTTGTTCATAAATTAGTCAAGAACGAACCCATATCACTCACTGTGCGGAAATCGCACAAAGCATTTGGAAAGCATAAAATGTATTTCAAAATCACTATATAAGAGCTCAAAACTATCTCGGCTCTCATCCTCAATCATTGAAATAACAACGGTGCGGTGTCTAGATCTACTACCTAGATGATATGTACACGTCTCTGGAATGTCATTTGAATAATTCGCTTATCCATCGACTACCTAAAAAATAAATCCTTAAAGGCATGTACTTTATCGTAGATTTGCAAACTTTCAAACTACCTAATAAACATATCACAAAAGACATTAATGCGTCCTATGTCGTTTATGAAATACTACTTACTATAATTAAAGCTCAAAAATGAAAATGTCACCTCCTAGAACTTACGAAAATTGAGTCCTAAAACATCTCACATCTACTTCGAATTAAGCTTCATTTAGTATTGACATTCCCAATAAAAACTACACCACACCGCTGTATGTATAGCAAATTCAAAACTAAAAAAACATGAATACAGCGATAAATTACAATGTCAAACAGGGAAGCTCGCTATTCGAAGCCTTTCCGAAGCCTCTCTAAATACATCTTAAATTAGCATACTGTGATAAGACCAACTTATGAACAACAGATAGGAACAAAAACTACGTAACTGCTTCACCATTTTAAATATGTAAATACAGTTCAAATAAATTAGAGTGAATAGAGAGTGTTACAGTGAACATGTAATTGCCTTTTATACATATTTTTGGAAACCGCCTTACCATCTGCTCATCTGCCCAAATACTCTTGTTTTAACGGTTACAAAATCTCCATTAGAATGCTTGAGTAATTGATCGCACATCTAATAACCTTCACACAACACCACTAATTGGAATGTTCGAAGAATCCAGAACTATTCAACTCCAAAGTAAAATTATAAGCTCATGCTACTCACCAGCATCGTTCTACCTTTTATTTTGTCGAATGAATCGAAATTACGTTATAAACTCAGACTATCTTCTGTCCATTAACCCAGACACTTTCGCAAAACGTTTCGTCACCTATTTCCTCAGATTTATTTCTTTGGCAGTGGCATTCTAATTTCAAATTTAACTTCGAAATACGATAACCAATCGTTATGACGCTTGATGTTCCATCAATTTTCTTTTTTTTAAAAGCTTTTTTATCTGAACCAATTCTTCAGAAAAAAAAACCAAAGTTTTTTGAAGTTCAAATCACTAATAATCTATCAAAAACATGAACCATTTTTAAAAATCTCACTATAATAGAGATAAACGCTTTCGTAGCATAAACCAATGACTGTATTATTCATGTACTTTAAATCTATGAAGCATCACACCACTTAAGTCGACAAAAGCTACTTACAAACTATGCTAAAAAGGTCAATTAAAGCAATTCCTACTTATTAACACAGAATTCCAAATCCGAACACCTTGCCATTTCTGTGAAATCTAATAGCTTAAGCTTTGTTGCCGCTGCAGCATTAAGATAAAGCGTTGTGAATACACATTCCCGACCGTCAGATGTTTAAACATAGTACTACTTTAAATCATAATTCAGCAATTCAAATTCCCAATCCTTATTGAAGGACCATATATATTATTCGAAAATCCGCATCGCTCGAACCAGCCCTATAAACAGGCTCAATCAACTGCCCACATTTACCTGCAAAATTTGCTACACTATTCGCAAGCCTAATTACCTACTACAGAATTTTGGTCAGTTCAAGCAACAACTAGTCAAACACCTTTGCCTGGATCCTCTCAGTTGGCAGAGATAGACGGTCCATACCTACAAATTTATCATCTGATTCATAACCATCACCGCCTAGCTACGAATATAAAAAGGTGCTAATTTTTCCCGATCTGATTCAAAACCACTTCATAGCTAAACAACTTCTAACAACTCACAAGTTTTCAAACACCACTTGTTTCCTAAACGATTTTTTATAAACGAAGATTAGTCACTACGAACCAACAAAATCCAACCAATTCTGCGACTTTTGAAAGGTGTGCAATGTTCTCAAAGATTAGTAATTTTAGTCCTGAATGATTGCAATACGTTATTCTTTAGCTGTCTTTAAGATTGAAATTACAGATGAACAAAGCCCCTTTAAAATCTGGGCGCCCCTTATCAAAGCGGCCGCTCCATAATCAACATATTTTTCATTAAGCTTCGCATACAGTAAGCGATTAACCATATTCCATCTCAAAATATAATCCAACAATCTTCCTTCAACATTATACTTGTAACTTTCCAAGAGTACTCACTTCTTCCTGTTCGTGACTATTGTCATTTCACGCTTTACATTACACCTTTTTCTTGTCCACTATCTTCGTTCAAGAAGGACACATTTACCACTTAAACGCACAGCCACCATTTTATTATACTACTACATGTGATGGAAGGGGATTAAGAAACAATTGCCAATTCACAAATTCTGTTACTTACAATGTCTAACAACGACATTACTTTCTAAATACAAACTATGCGCATATTAAATGCCTCTAATGAACGACTACATGCAAATTACAAATGCTGCTTCTGAGCTAATCCTCCAATAATTTCCGAAACCAAACTTGACGACCGATAAATTTTCGAATCAACAATACCCCATGGTAATGAAAAACGATGGAAAACACACTGGAGTGGGTAGAGCTAATTACTACATCCACTACTGGATTGTTAAAGTTGCTCTGAATTCTACAGACTTTTCTTCCCTTAATATAAATGCAGCATTTTCATTCATCAAATTTTTAAATGAGTGTCAAATTCCTTCGCAAGTTTTTCAAAACAGGATACCCCAGCTGTTCTATCCGGTCTGGACCCAAACTTCGTAACGTAACGGATCTCTCGGGTGTTTCTGTGCCTCACTGCTTCACGACGCTACATAATAACTCAGGGATCGTCTTCAACCCTATCTGAGGAATACTCAATCTCTTCAATCCTGAAAATCTCCAATTCATTGGTGAGCACTGTCATTAGGATATCCGTTACCTAAAAACATCCAGCTTTTCCAACTTTTATTGCACCCAAACGAACCAAATCCAGGAGTTCACTACCTTCCAATGTCCAATAGCTAATTTCCGACAAGAGAATGAAAATATGATTTCGTTGCTATTAGAAATTTCAAAACTGTAAACCTTATAGCCCTTAACACTGATCCCAATGTTTCAGAACCACAATTTCTGTGAACTATTTACGCGTTAACCGACGTCCTACCATTCATTCTTTACCGTACCTGAAAACAATATGTTTTCTAAACACAATAGATAAAAAAGGTATACCTCGAATGAAATATCTGTCAACCTGTGGCCACACACCCTTATAGGACACCACCTATCACTGCGAGTATAGATCACGCACAATTCCCTATTCTTTGCATGCACATCTCCAGAAAGATACGACTGGCCATCCATTTCCCTACGTCATTTCAACTCTTGAAAAAAGCTTGTTTAATATCGTTACACTTACCTTAGTAGACTCACTACTGCAATCTCCACCAAATTGATCATCGCCCCGTCCTTTTCTCAATGAACCAAAGCACCGGTTTGTTCGCCCCATTTCACAGCAGAGTATATATCCCCACGGCCCCGTAACATCTGGAGTAAACTCCCAGCGCTCCCGAACCCTTCCATCCACCACAATGATCATAAACAACCATAACTTCGACCACCAAGACTACGACAATAATATGGAACAGTGACGAGCAGGTTTATATAGAAGCTAAGAGACTCTTGTGGAAAATTCTGGAAGACCCACCCACTGCGTATCGAATTTGTTTTCGAAATATATTTCGTAAAAGAAAATAAGAGTGCGGAAATAGGCGAGCAAACACTGCACAAATAGCATATAAGTTGAGAGAATGCATTGCTGTTAAAATGAGAAAAACAGGGAAAGGCTATGTAACGAAAGAGAGAGACATGATGAAACTGAGTATCAGCTGATCGATTAGTGTTAGAATGTCCTCTAACCGATCGATATTAGTGAGATGTTTAAAATCAGTTTGGAATAGCCTCGTGAGCAGAGTGTTTAGACATCGGAGGTTTCGCTTTTTGAATTTAGCTGGTGCTGCTCAGGGGAGGAAGCATCATTGGCATGTCTCGGTGAGAAGTTGCTTTAATCTCCTGGTGCATACTGCATCTTGTCAACTGAATCTGATCCGGTAAAGAGCGCTTTAAAGAGTGTTATTAAAGCGGTCGCTTGCCTTAGCTCAATTCTCACCTTACATCGAACTGTGTTTGCACTGAAAATGGCTTCTATTCAGCTTAATTAAAAGCCGTAAACTTTGTTTCATGATGACCCCGTAGTGTCAAGCCTTCATATTTCAATGATGTGAATGTTCCTATGACGTATTAGAAGAGTTACTATTTGCTCTCTCAGGAATTCATTGCATACACAGTCGTAATCCGTTGATTTTTTACCTGAATTCCAAGTAAAGAATGGATGCAAAAACCCAAAACTCACAAAACTAGCTTGAACTACCGTCTTGGATTTTTAGCATAGCTTCGCAATATCCATTTCGTTAAATTTTGAACGAGCGAATTTAAATCCCTCATCTTGATTTAAACAATATTATATAAGTCAGAAACGAGCTAACAGCCGTAAAGGAAAGGCAAAGAAGGGAGTTCACATAAGTCTCAATCTGCACAACATTCTCCAATTTATTCTGAAAAGCTAAAACTCAGCATAAAATCGAGAGGTTATTCGAAGTTGGTTACACTAGTTTGAAAAGGACTGGTGAACTTCGGACTTTCAATTTTAGAGATCTTTTAAATATACCGATTTCGAGACATTATTATATCTGAAAATTTCGTATTACTGGACTATTCAATCCATGCAAAGAGTACGTATAAAAGTAAGGTGCAGTATTGGCGTATAAAACTTTACTTAGTGTATTACAAAAATGAAATTTTCTAATGAGCAAATGAAAATTGAGACTTGAAGAAATTTTACGTTACGAGATATAGCAGTAATTTTTTTATTGGGATAAGGCGATGTTTTTCAATTACAAGTTAGAAAATATGTCGTAATGATGAGAGCATTCAAAGTTCGTTACCAGCCAGGTTTGTTTTGTCCGCTCATATTTTTTCACAACCTTCAAAAGCAGTAGGCCAATAAAACATCATTAATTGTTTTCAACCAATGGTTGTTATCTTACAAATCCTTTATGAAAATAATCTGTGCAATTTATTTGGCAATACAACTTTTCTGGTCGTGCAACTTTCTGTAACCATGACCCCTATTGGTAAAGCTAAGTATTTTCTTCTTACAAGAAAAAAGGAAAAACCCTCTAACGCATGAAATGATGCAGAATTTTCTTCAACATTGAAACTTGTGAAGAACTATACGTACGTGAAGGGTAAAAGTTTGAATAGAAATAGAGATCACAAATTTGTTGGAGAGGTGAAGAAACGAAGCATTACTTTTTTGTTTTCTTTAAGAGGATATGACATCAAACTTCTTTTGATCACCGTAGTTCTTCTAGTCAGCGTAAAATAATTTATGTTAAACCACACGGAATAAAAGAAATCGATCAATATGGTATATATATTTGAGTGATTTCAATAAAACAGTACTGCGATGAAGCATTTCTTGAGGGATTGAAAGTTCTCATTACTGAACTTGCTAAAAAGAATCCTCCTACATGTATCACACGACAAAAAAGGCTTCCAGTCAGGTCAATTTACTTTGTAGATTGAAAGCTTTTTACTTGCACGATATATCATTTGAGAGCAAACAGAAATTAATTTATTAAAAGAGGATAAAATATGAAAAAGGAGAGGAAAATATATTGAACATCAAACTACGGTATTTGTATTCCAATTATCCCCAAGAAACTTATGTATTTCCTAGCAGAGTTTCCGGTAAATACCGACTTCTGTGTGATTAGAAAGAAGAATTATAAAATAATGATGTTGAGAGAAGGCTGTTAAGGAATGAAACAAAGAAGAGATTTTATTTATAATTATGATTTACATATCCCTTCAGATTTACTAGCAGATGATGTTATTCAGATGATGTCTTATTATTCAGATTGTATTCCAATTATCCCCGAGAAACTTATGTATTTCCTAGCAGAGTTTCCGGTAAATACCGACTTCTGTGTGATTAGAAAGAAGAATTATAAAATAATGATGTTGAGAGAAGTTCAATTTATGGACTCCAATAATTTATGGACTCCAATACATTCAGTGATAACGATGAACCTATCTGGTTTTTTTTCAAAATATTGAAATGTTGAAATCCAGTATCAGATGTTTCAAATTGTTCAAGTAAGTAAAGCAAAGTATTAAATTCGTGTGATCAAATTTTGATATCAAATGGACATCTGATTATGTATTACTACCTTTTTTGTACATTACTTATATTACTTATACTATTATACTGTATATTGTACTTATATTACTTATACTACGCGTATATTACTTATACTATGTATATTACTTATTACTTATACTATGCGCTGTTGTATATTACTTATAGTAATATACAATATATATTACTTATACTATGCGCTGTTGACTGTAGCGGAAATTCATTCTCTTTTTACGTTAATAATAGCCAAAATTTTCATTAGTCTTTAATAGAAAAAATTTGTTACGATCATTTTATAGCTTATATAATGATAAGTGAAGTTTATGAGTGATAAGTTCATAATTAATCGATGTAAACTTGCCAATTTGTCTACTCAGAATTATACATGGCCAGTGATTAATGCTTCGAGATGATAACATATTTCCAGTTGCTTGATAACATTTACTGCTATGCATTTGATAGCACTGAAACAATCCGATAAACATTTCATGCTTATTGGATCGGATTGTTTTAATGTTATCAATTATCACCTATTATATAGTTAGATACTTTTTTTCTTTGAGGTGCTTTCCCTAAAGCGAAAAAATGAATTGTAATAACAAAATCATTGACGATCAATAGTAATCAAAAATTTCTCTCGTTCAAATTACAAGTCGAATCAATAGATCTAAAACAATGAGTCAAATCAATAGATTCGGACATTCAGGATTCATGGTTGATTCCAACTAAAAATGATGCATTAAAAAAAAGTACTATGAGAATTTAATGAATCATCAATGATAAAAGGAATTGAATGTTTGTTGTTCCTAGCAGTAACATTCCAAATATGTAACGGATAATAATTGGATAACAAGAAATATCGATGTTTTGTTTTGCATATTCAGACTACATCTATCATGTGCTTTCACGTATTTAACGCTCTTAGAACTTCATGTAAAATATCTTTAAACAAGTTTTGCTCCTCTCTTTTTCACTTGGTAAATCTTTCACTGTCGACATTTATCATCGAATCGATCTTATTATTGCTAAAATACCGGATATCCATTATCGAACGAATTAATACAACAAATAAAAAGTAGTATTTTCTACCACGTCATATTGGGGAAGTAAATCAACGTCGCAATAAATCATTGTTCATTGTCACACGTCATTATTGTCAATATGGAAAGGATATGATGATCTGTTAATCAGAATTTGCATGATTTGGTCTGAAATTGCACTATTATTTGATAACTAAATTGATAACATTGTTTTAATTGCGTTGATGAATAATGATTATGATAAAGATTTATTAACAAAGAATTTATGTTTTTTTCGGATATGTTATAAGATAATTAATTATCAGAGAATATTATATATAGGTTAATAATATTCAGTGGTAATATTTCAGAAGTATAGAGGATGGTAATAGTTCTCGAATCAAATCAAATCAAAGCGCATTACTTATTATTCTTGGGAAACAAAAAGAGGTAAGCTAATAAAGGATCTATTTAATGGATTTTCTAGACGTTACAGTAAGTAGTCTTCTAAGATAATTTAACATTGTAGAACAATCTTTACAATACAGATTTCTACAATACAAAAAATATTTCGTATTTTTCAACGATTTTGCTTTGTTTATTGATTGATCCATTGGAAAAATAATTTTCTGCTCAGAATTCTCTCTGTTCAATAAAAAGTATTGTAAGAGTACTGTGACGTCCAGAAAGCACAACAACATTATCCGTAGTTTTCGCTTCTCAGAAGATAAGTTCCAAAGTTCCTTGATTAAAGGAACTCACTATTCATATCTACCAGGCACATACATATTCCATTAGCGGAATAATGTTCACCATATTTACACATTCCGATAAGATTAGAGCATGGATCACAATCACATTCCCACCAAAGTGATCTATCGCATTGTTATTATTATCATGGAATAAACGATAGGATTCGATATATGTAATCCAGCGAATTGTGGATGTTTGAAAGAATTTACTGCCTCATGCTGGGATCGAACCAGCGACCTCCTGTTTACGAGACAGGCGCTCTGCCACTGAGCTAATAAGGCCTTATAAGTTTCGTTTCACAAGTTTAAATTGAAATATACAAGTTTAAATTGAAAATATTTAGAAATTTTTTTGTGCCTAAACGTTACTAATAATAATTTTAAGATGAAATAAAAGCTTTGAATTAATTTCTGAACTTGAAATCATTCATTTCTCGCATTTATTTGGTAATTTCTTTCTTTTCTTCTCTTAAAATTCCCTTCAATTTCAACTTTAACATCTCTTTGTCACTCCACTTCACTGATATGATATGATAAGCAGTCAATTTTTCTCCCAATGACTAAAATGTTTTTGAAACGAGAGAGCGAAGAAAAAAAGTTGTCAATAATCGATAAATAATGAATGCATAACATTAGTGCAATGCAAAAAAATATCTTCAAGTGTTGAAACGATGAAATTTTGAAATATAAACGAAATTGGTAGGAAATAATTCATTCCTAAGCATATAGCAAACTTGTGATAGTATCTTTATCTTATCATAATGTTGTTGTTGCTATTGTTGTTGTTGTTGTTTTTGTTGAACATTTGATGATAAATATGCTTAAATCGTTGTTGTTCAATCTTTTAATAGAAAATTTTTGACTAAATGTCTAATATTGAATATGCCCAATATATTATATATAATAAATTATATAGCAAAATTTCATTTTATTATTAGAAAAAATTGAAGAAAAAAGAAATAACTTTTATAATATAAAATTTTAAGCAATAATTTTTTTATTGAAATTCGTGGAAATATCTTAAATTCGTTTCTTTATGCTCAAACAATCAGCTAATTTTAGTATTATTGTTTTTATTTCCTTCTCATTTTCATTTATAAGAAATAACAGCTGAGAGAAAATTTGTATATAATATTTGAAAAGAGTAAGATGAAAATAACAATTAACAGAGATAACCGGAGATGACCTATTGTATCAAATGCAATTAGCAATTTTTCAAATTTCATTTCCTTTCATCTCTTTCCGTAATAAATATCGAATTTATCATTGTAATCTTTTTCCGAAATAAATATTGAATTTATCTTTTTCTGAAATAATGAATATAGAATTTATTATTGTTTAAAAGAATTGATTCATTTAGAAGGGGGAAAAGATAGGGAAGTATATTTAGCTAGACTGGTATTATCGGCTGTAAATCGGAAAATGTTACTTTTAAGTATTTAAGAAAAAAAATTGTTTCACTAAAATGAAAATATCATGTGTAACCATTAGTCATTCCCAAAATCTTTATTTTCTATCACAAAAGTGATACATTTTATTAGTAGTATATTTATTGTATTATTGATTCGATTTGGTTCACATAAGAAATTTCACATAAAATTTGAAAAATTATTTAAACTAACAAACATTCGTAATTTATTAAAAAATGCTGAAAATATATAAATGGAGAATTAAATAAAATAAATATGACAACAATCACTTTTATTGTATATCATTAAAATTTTGTTTATACAAATCAATTCTTTTAAATTTTCTGTTGCATTCATAATACTGTAATCATTATACTCATTACCTGAAAAATTAATTAGCTAAGCATAGGTAAATAAGTAAGGCACTAAAAAAAAGAATGCAATGTTTTGATATGCTTAAATTAAAGTTAAATAGATGTTTAAAAAATACAAAATTTATTAGAGATTCTATAAAATATAAACCTATAAAATGCAATTATTTTCAGCAAATATTTGTGAATAAAATTTAATGCCTAAAAATATTTTGAAACAACCAGGGAAGTAGCAGTCCAGGCCTAAAAAGTTGCGGGTAGTTTTTCTATTAGCTTATTAATAATTTCAACGTATCTCTCCAAACAGTCCTACAAAACTTTCCGAATCGATTTTTTTCCACTCATTTCTAAGTGCAAATTTTGATAAACAAAACAATATGAACCACCCATTTCCATCTTTTTCAAACAGAGAAGCCAAAAATACTAAACACACCATTATTTTGCATGCATTGAAAGTCTATCTAAAATAAATCCAACTATCTAAAATTTCAATTCTTAAAATAGCACTGAAAAATATTACACTTAAAGAAGCTATTAAAATATAAAAGATTAAAGGGATTAAAAAGTTTTGGAGCCTATTATTTAAGTATGAGAAGTTTGGAATTAAAAATTATCTGCTTGTCTTCACAATAACAGTTATAGAATCGAACAGCTAAACTTCAATTTCTAAAATAGCTTTGAAAAATATAACATTTAAAAAAGCTATTAAATTTCCTAACAAAAGCACCTCGAATTGTGTAGATGATATCTACTTATACAGCAAAAGCGATATTATCAGATAATGATTACAAGCATATCAGTAGTATTCATCTTCTCCAATAGAATTACATAAGCAAAATGCCACTATTATACCAAATATCTGGAAAAAAAAAGTTTTTAACTACTTTAAAAAGTTGTCTGAAATTACTTCTTACCGTTCAGCTTTCAAAGAAATGCACCTGAATAACCATTCTAATATGTAACTCTAAGGTATTTGAGGATATATTTCTTCTCGATTAAAAATTCTAAAGTTATGTCTATTATAGCAATTGTTTTAAAAAAAAAAATTGAAATGATTATCTTAAGAAACACATGAGTTGGTTGAACTGCGAGAAAAATTCAAAGATTTGACAAGTTCTTAAAATTGGAATGAAAATAATATTATTGAAATATTCAGTTTACCTGTATCAATGCAATACTGATTACAGTCCATGCAACAATCTTGAAATGTGTCATTAATGACTGTACAGAATCCTTGATTTTATCATAACAACCCTGCAATGAAACAACAAATGCAAATATAATTGCTGCAGCAATTATTCAATGTAAAAAAAAGAAATGAATTGTTGCAGGTAAGTACAGCATAGATAGGAGGTGCTAAATCTGAGAAATTCTCCAACTTTCTATTTGCATTGATAAGTTTCTGTGCTGACTTTTGTTCTAGATTTTGAATTCAAATGGAAAGTAATTAGTTGGCTGAAATTAATTTTGCTAAAGAAAGTTTTGAGAAACTACGAACATCGCCATATCTAGCTATTGTAGGACAAAATTCCATCAAAACTCCATTTTTGTTTGGTGGACAGCAAGCTGGCGGAAAATGATGCTTTTGACCAGTTAGCCGATACCAACCGCTTTCATTGAAATCACCAATCTTTGAATCCACACCACAACATGATTTCTATAAATCATCTCCAGAAGCTATTTTGCTATTAATAAAACTTTAGTAGAAACTGATATTATCTGATGAGGAAGCTCTAATAATTAAGATAATAATGATAATTGTAAGAGATAACCAGAATGACCTTAAAATTTAATTCGAAAACCTCTGAATATTATTTTACATAGCTTAATTTTGCTTTCATTTTTCATCAAATTAAATAATAACTTATAGCAATTTTATACGATCATCAAATTTACTTCAATCATAATTTTATCCCATGCAGCCTTCATAAGTACTGTATCATCGGACATTTTATGTGTAGTATCCGTCCCATTGTATAATTTTAATGATGCTTTCAAAATTTGTCGGAAATCCTGCGCGAACTATAAATTCATCAATAAAAGAAATGAAAAGAGAAATCAAATGCTTCTTTAAAAGTGATATTGAATCTCATTCACATGAAGGAATAAATACATAAAAAATTTTACATTAAAGATTTTTCGTACATGGATACGATATAAATACTTAAATAGATATAAATATATACCGTGTGACTATGCATAACAGCATATATCGCCGCCGCTATTTGTGTTGCAAGTATAATCATTAGACATGTTGCATACTATAAAACATAATTAACTTTGTGAAAAGTAATTATGATTTTAAAGAATAACTTATACCATTTTTCTGCATTTTAAACGTTTGTAAAGAAAGCAATTTAAAATGCTTCTCTCTTACAGTATGCTATTAAGGATGATTTCCTTCTCTTTTCTTTATGATATCGTTTTTTCTTTCAACTTTTTGATTTATGAATTTCTGACATCAAAGCGAATGAATAATTTAATGATAAATGATATCATATCAATAACAAAAATATTTCAAAAGCATTAATGGAAGCTTTTTAAATCTTTTTAATGCTTCTTTCGAACTAAAATTAAACAAAAAATTTCTCAAACAACTTCACAAATAGTTTAGAAAACTTTTATATTTAATTCATATGCTTAAGTTTCTTTTAATTTGCACAGGTAATCATTGAGTATTTGAACTAATTTTATGATTCAATAAAATTACAAAATATGTAAAACAGATATTTTACATAATTTTACTATTTGCTTCCTTTAAATGTATTCCATGCAGTAAACTATAATAACTCTTCTTCATTGATTTGCTCCAATATATAATATTGATTTTAATAAATTTACAAAATTTAATTGAAAGATAACTTACGCAACATAAAAGTAAACGCCATTCTTTAGCCGCTCCACAACATCCCATAAATGATACAACAATGACAATTATACCACCAATAATTAACAAATATCCAATTTGTCGTACCGCTGCTGGCTTAGATGCCTTTAATTGTAAAATTTCTAATGATGAATATTTAAATTTTATATCGAAATTAAAAAATTAAATTGAATTTGAGTAATGATATGTGCAGTTAATTCTTTCATTACAGATGTATTTAACTTATTGCTGTTATCAAATTTTTATTTAACTTCTGATTCTTTAATGAAATACTTTTATCAGTATAGAATTTCTTTTTTAAATAAAATAATGTTAAAGACTAAATTTAACATTTTTCATGAATTAATCCATTTTCCATTCATTTTTTTCCTTTGTCTTCTTTTCGCTCTGATAAGGTTGCCTCTGATAAGATTGGTTCTCTGATAAGATTGCCTCTTTGATAGGGTTGTCGATAAAGTTTGAGAAGAAAAATTGCTTTTATAATTAAATTTATTATTTTGTTCTTTCTCCTTTGTCTTCTTTTTGTTTAAAGTGTTTTTTTTTAAGCAAATTTATCTTATCTTACCAGCTCGATGGAAAACTGAAAGTAATTGCAAACAAACATACCAATTCACGTAATCCATCATCGGTAACTTGAACTTTTTCACTAGCAATTGCTAAGTTTTCTACAGCGTATCGATCTAATACTAACCATATGCCAATACTAACACATAGCAAACCACAAAGCTGCAAATATTTTTACTCTACTTTTTGTTAAGTTAACAATCCTAACAAATAATATCATCTTATTACTTACTATATGATCTAAATATTTGATCACCTAAAAATGATTCATATTTTAAATGATTCATCATATCAAAAATGATAAGATATATCTGAAAAATTAAAAATAAAATCAAATATTCAAAATTCAAGAAAAAAAATAGTTACCAAAAAAATCAAATTAAATACGAAAAGGCAAAATTTAAGGCATCTCGCACCACAACTCAAATTTGCCATTCGATTTGCTATTTTCGTTCTTCCTTAAATGAAATTATGAATATTGAAAATTTCCCGAAAAATGTTTAACTTCACTTTCACTTTAATTGCTATTAATTATAACTTCCCTCAAATTCATTTTCCAAAACTTAAATTTACTAAATTTAATGATTAAGACAGATGTGAAGTATTACTTAAAGAGCAATGTGCGCAATATATCCAACAGATGTTCGCTTTTGTTGTAGTAATAGTTTTTAATGTGACAAAACAATGTTATTCTATCATTTATATTATATTAACAGTTACTATTATTGTTCAAAATTTCATGCGAGAATTAAAGAAATTTTTATCATTGACATTGATTATTATCGAATGGCATAATAATTAATTAATTAATTTAGTTTACTCTGCCGCAACTGCTGTAAGGATTTGTAGGAATTGAAAATAGAAAGTTAAAGTTGTTAAAAATGCCTGGAAAAGCAATAATCGTTATGATATACATTTGATCCTCTGGTAAATTAAATTTTCTCAAATTTCTTTATAAATAAAATCACTATCATTCGAAAAATTTCAAAACCATCATTCCTTTAAAAATAAAATGCTTTTAGGAAAAGAAGCTAAATCAAACAAAAAAGAGAAAAATGACAGATTTGAATGAAAGGCTGGCTATAAAAATTAATTTCGTAATTTTAAATCTAACTAATATAAAACAATCAAAACTAACCAATTTGATTTATTATATAACTTTTAATTGTATTTCTTTCTTCTCATTATTTACAGTAATCATAATATGAAAAAAAGCATAAGGAAGAGTTTATAATTATATGAGAATATAATTATTAGAATAGAATAATTTCCATATCTTGCGATTAATTTAAAGTAATCTTATATTTTCTCATATATCATTCTTCTTATTATTTGTCTTATAGCTATTTTCTTAAGATTACTATTATTATAATTAAAGTGAATGAAAACGAATTAAAAGTATATTGAATGATTTCATAAGGATTTTTCGCTTTAAGATCAAAAATAATTAATGATAGTGAAATTAAATCAAGCAATTAACAGCTGCTTAACATTATATCAGTAACATTTGATTTTTTAAAAACGTCCCATAGGTCGAAGTAATTTATCTCTTTTCGATAGCTTCCACGAAATCTCAAATGATGAATACACTTTTACTGTTTAAAAAAAAAATCGATCGAACTATTTTATTGCTTAGAACATATTTTATCAAACTTAAGTTGATTTAATCTATCGTACTTAATTCAACCTACTATTTCAATTAATTGATGAAATTTAACAGAATGATACAAACATGCTTATGCTTACAATTCATACCTGATAATTATAATCTATTTTTATATCTAATAGTTTTAGGAGTTTTAATTACTATATCTAATAGTTTTAGGAAATATTTATTCAATATTTCAAATCATTCATAACTATGCATTATTCTAAAGAATTATTCTTTATTTCGTAAAATTTCAGAATTACTGAATAATACCAAATATTAGCTAATAAATTTGAGAAAGGTCAACAATATTTAACATTAAGGATTTCAGCTTGTTGTTGTTGTATTGCCAGATTTTCATACATATTTACATTTTCTTGTTCAAAAAGAAATACTACTACAATCAGTGCCATCAAATATTCACACCAACAACAGAAATATTATTATTTCATAAAAATTCATTTCTAATCATCAAAGAAATACCTGAAATGCCTGAAATCAATCGCTTTTGAAAATCAAAAGGAATATCAGTAGTAGTACTTATTATTACGTAACATTTCAATATCAATATTATGTATTTCGATTAAGGTTATATCGAAAGAATCAAATTATTTCATGCTATTTATCCATTACATCGGAAAAACGGAATCATTTCTTACATCTTAACTGTGCTCAAAAAAAAAGAGTAACATTATAAAATACGTCAGGAAAAGTTTCTGAAGTCAAAAAATTAGAAAAAAGTTTATTGACAGGATGATTTGCGGAAACAAAAAGCGCAAATGACAGAATAACAAGTTGATCTGATCTGATCGACAGCTTTATTAGTCAGTCGGAAGAAAAATGAATGAATGATATTAAATAAAAATTATCCAACAAAATTTTTCAAAAAAAGAATAAACTAATAGTTGTTTGAAATTAACTAATATTAACTTTCGCTATATTCATGAAAAATTTTTCGAATAATGAAAGTGATAATTCAAAATTTAATTTCAATAATTGTTTTTGCTCATTTAATTGCACCAAATTACTTCGACTGAAAGTATCAAAAAGTTGAAAGTTACACCAATTTTACGATCTCTTTAGTTTAGTTTTTCTAAACACTAAATGAACAAACAAAAGCCAATTGTCATTAAAGCATAAATCCTTTCTCTCTCCCTCTCTCTCTCTCTCTCTCTCTCTCTCTCTCTCTCTAATTTTTTCCTAGGAAAAAAGATTAGAAGAATTCTTTTCATTTCGTTTTCATTTCAAACCATTCCTATAAACTGTATGATTAATGATGATAAAATTCATGTTTTTAAAATGTGATTTTCAACATGTTCTTGCACGTATCATAAAATTTAAAAAGAATGAACGAATAAATCAAAATGAACAAATGAAAATAATGATAAAAGAAGTTGGAACAATATTCGACGAAAATTATTCATTTATTATTTACAATTGATTTTGTTGCACCTTTCAAAGGAACAAATTGAAAATACACACACACACACACACACACACATATACATACGTACATATACATGTATATAAATAAGTATATTCAGGTATTTCAGTTAACAGTTGATAGAATCATCCTTTTTCAACCAATCCTTTAATATGGCAAAAAATCTGATAACATATTAAAGAGAACTAGACTTAAATCTTAATTAAAATTGAACGGAAAGCTAAATTTTGTACAAAAAAGAAATGAACCCGCAATGTTAATATTTAGTGGAAATAAATAATGATAGGAAGGATAGATGTAGACTGAAATGGTAGGAGAGAGTTTGAATCTATCTTAATTACAACTACAATCTACTATTGTTACATTTATTACTATCTTGATCTTACTTTCCAACGATACTATTCTATTCTTACCTTTTCAATTTGTAATTGTTTATGATAATATTTCTCAAATAGCATTTTATTGTTTTGAGTTTACTTCTTTCACTCTTCTTTGTAGCACTCTTAGTCATCAATTCAATTGATAGAAGAGATTCATGTAGGTTAGTCGTTCCTGTTGATCGCTTTCATGTCTACTATCTACAACACCATTGCCCTCCAGTGTTCTCCAGCAATGAAGCAAAATCGTCTATTTATATAATTGACAAAAACCCACTCACAGAGAGAGAGGGAAAAGAGAGAGAAAGTTGTTCGAATTTAAGTTCAGTTATTTAAGTGTAAGTTGTTATCTAACATTTCGTGATGGATAGTGTAAGCAAAAGCCTCAAATCTAATTCTAACAACAATGATAATTGATATTTGTGACATGTTTGTGATCCTGAGGTTATTCATCAAATGATGCAGCATTTTAATGACATAGAATTCAATTTCATGATGAACTTAATAAAAACCATTTCCAAACATCCATAAGCGATATGAATTATTGAATCCATGTTTGAATGGATAAATTTTAAATAGCATTTAACCATCAAGTGATAGCACATTAATGCCTTCAAAATGAACTCATTAATTAATTACTGACACAAAAATATCCCACTATTGACTATCTGTAAATTTCAAATGATCTAATGTCTGATGTACAAGTGAAAATTTAAGATATCTTCTTTGTTGCCCATATAAAATATAAATGATAAGTTAACATTTCCATTGAGCGACTTGTGATTTTATATTGCCATTCGCATGAGATAACTGTCAAAAAAACTTTTTTGTGAAATTTTTTTAATACAAATTCATCGTATTTCATGGCGAAAAAATACGGTTGAATAAGAAAACAAACATTGAAAAACCGCGTTAAGTTGAGAGAAACCATAAAAATGACGGGAAATGACCAGCGTTGCTTTTATGCAACAATGTGATAACTGACTTTCACTGACAAAAAATTTTCTTGAGCAGGAATAATCAATTCAGAAGCATGATGATGATGAGCGGATTAGTAATCCGGAAGTGATTAAAGTAATGTGATAATTTACAAAACATGTTAGGAAAATTGAACCTTATCACGTCACATTTTGCAAGAAATTATCAAAATTACAATATGATATGGTAAAAGGACGGTAGTGATAAGACTGACTGATAAAAACATCCAAATAAAAAAGTATCAAAAATCTATTTCTTCCATTATACCAAAATAGAAACAAGCATTCATAAATCAATTGGAAATTTAAGTTTTTCAAATAAAACTATAATGTGATGATGCGAGGATATCATCATTTTGTAAAAATTTCAAAAAATGAATATTAAAATTTACGTGAACGTCTGAAATATATACGAAACATATCGATGTGTTTGTTTATTTTTGAAAATGCAAATAATAAGATAAAATCATTTTGAAAGTTAAAATTTCTTCTTTAATTAGAATAAATCTATTCCAGTGGAATGGAAAATATCAATTCAAAGAAATATAAACTATAAAATTATTTCTGGGAAAAAAAGAACAGATTCTATTCATATCCCTTCAAAATATTCTCCAATTAATTCAACAATGTTTAATGACAGAATTATATTATAGCAATAAAAGTTATGAGAAAACAGAAATCATAAAATCATAAAAGTTAAAACATTAAAATTTTATAAAACATTTTCATTAAAAAATAAAATTGAAATAGACGAAAAAAACTCAAAATTCACTATAATTTCTGTTTTAAAAAGATTTTTAAAATCATTTTTAGACAATTAAGAAAAATTTTTTCACAAAATTTCGGAGATGCAAACTTTGCTCATAATAAAAAAGTCATAAATTCATTCATTTCGTTATGCAAAAATACAAAAAAATGACACACACACACAGACATAGACATACACACACACATACACATACACTACTGACGAATACTAGTGAAAATATTCAAGACGCAATGATTAAGAATGGCGAAGAGAATATTTTAGACAAGTTAATTTTTAAATTATCAATAACCGCTCATAAACCTAGGTCGTATTACGGTACGCATTGCATGTGGTGGTTGTGGCATCGTTCCATATGGAATTAAAGATCCATGTGCTCCTGCCACTGGTGTCCCTTGAATAGTTGGTGATGACAAAGAAAGTGCGGCAGCATGAGGCTGAAGAAATGGACCACGTGGTGGAGGTCCGCCAAGGAATAATGGTGGTGGTGGCGGTGTACCAATCCAACCAGGTGGTATAAACGGAGTTGCTGGCTGTGGTGATGGTGCATCACCACATAGGAATCGTTGTAATTCTTGCTCTGTATCCACAATCATTACGAGAAACGGTGATCCAGGGACATGTTCACCGTGCCATTTAACTTCCACCTAAAATTTAATCCTACACATACATTTAAATTTCAAAGTATTGGAAATAGTTGCATTACAGTACTAAACGTAAAAAACTATGCAGGAATGATTACCAATTTTTACATCTCTAATTTAAGTCTATCAGAAGAATTAATTAAATCCTTCCATTACTCATCAAATTCTTATATTCCAGTATCATGAATACTTAAACCTATTAATTGCTTTAAGATTGAAATATGAAATGAAATATAACCTGATAATCTCCCGGTTCCTTTGGTTCATATTTGCAATGAATTGTTCGTTCTTGCTTCTTTTCTCGTTGCATTTCAACATTGAATGCTCCCTTTGGTCCACGAACACGTACCGTAAGCTGTCCTGCTCCAGCACCTTTTGTTTCAACAATGAAATTTGATTTAAATCTATAATAAAGTAACTTTGATTCTCCATTGAATTCATACAATGATATATGCAAAACCGTAGCACATTACATGTTTCCTTGAATCAAGATTTCGATGATTGAATAAAGAAATTGATAATAAAATTAAAATCGTCAAAAAAAAATTTCAACTGACGTGGAAAGTATTCCATGCTCAATTCCAGGTCCATATACACGTACTTTGGATGCATCTGGTGGATAGGAAACATTGAAAGTAAAAGGACTTCCTGGTACATGTTCATCCGAATATTTCACAACTGAAACGAATGAAACAAATAACATTTCTGAAATGCACTCTGTTCCGATATTCCTCGATTATCTGTTTTAAAAAGGATTAACCATCAAATAAAGCAGAAATTTTGAAATTAAAAAATACAGAAATGCAGAAAAAAATGCACGGCAGAATGAATTAAAGCTCAGGAGAAAGTCGTTTATAGTTTAATTCCGAATCGTTATATGTTCGTTTAAATGATATCACTAAATCAGAAGATGCATAAAAATGAATTATGTCTAATTTGTTGTAAAAATTTCAAGAAAAATAAAACATGCCCAGCGTATGTTTTCCAATTTCAGAAGGTCTAATTGAAAGAGTATATGTACCATCGCGAAGATCGTAAAGATCACAATATGCATGTTTTGTTGGTCCCATACATTGTGCTGATAGTTGACCTAAGATGAAAATATGAAATTAAATATAATAGTAATCCCTAACTTAATTAATACCAACGGCAACCTATTGCAGTAATCCAAATCATGAATATTATCCGCGATTAGAAGTACACATTGCGATTTTGACGTTAAAATTAAGAGAAAGATTTGAATATATTTTAATTGAATACATAATAAATCCCTTCTATATTACTTATGTTTTTTTTACTACATAATATACGATATTTGAGTAATACTTTCAACCAACGAAAATATTAATGTTGTAAGTTCATGAAAAATACAGCATTTCTATATAAATATAAAAAATACAGCATTTCTATATAAATATACCTTTTTAAATTTCTTATCCTTTATGTAAGCCATAAATTCCTATAACAATGTAAATAAAATTATTGAAGGAAAAAAAAAGATTCATACCTGGCCCTGCTTTCCTGGTATCAATAATAGTTTTCACATCCTCATTCACAATTCCCATTTTCAATGTATTTTCATCAATAACGATAGCATCTGCAGCACTCGAATGCAAATCAACCTGCACTCGAAAAGGTGAACCACGAACATGATGTCCATCCCATAATATCTGCAATGATAACATTGTTCATCAATTTCTATATATCAAATAAAATTATTTGCGAATTCGTCAAATTCTTAGGATTCAAATAAATGAATAAACATTATTAAGCAGCCAGAAAACGTTAAACTTCACATAGTTTTATTTTAAATAAATTCATGCAAAGAGAAATTGATAGTTATAACAAATATCAATCTAATTAAACAAAATAAAATTAATCCGATGAATCTAAGTGAAACTGAACCTGTAATTCATAGATGCCAGATATTAATGGTATGTAGACAGCTTTATAAACGTTATTTCCCAAATGGGTTAAGCGAATCGGGATATCTGCTTTTTGTCCAAGCAGTGAACATGATATCTGTCCACCATCTAAAATACTCGTTTATAAAATTTGAAATTCTGAAATTGAAATTTCATCCTAAATCCTCTTTTCTGTGACAATCGCTTACAATCAGAGAAAATTTTCGGCTTAAATCTTTGTAAAATATAGCTGACATTTATAAAAGCAACCCCACAAAAATAATACAACAAACAAATCATGTCAATAATTAGGAATGACAAACCTCTAGAGACATCTGATCCATCGATAATAAATTCCGCTTGTTCATTATTGGCAGCCCGTGTTAAACCTTCACCTCGTACTACAACTCTCAAGTAGTCCGTTTCACTCCCTTCATGAGATGGATGATCCCTAAATTTTAGTGTTCGTAAAAAGAAATTAAAATTAGGATTATTTCAGTTAATTTCAGAAATTGACCATAAATTGACAAAATTGATAATAGATTATTTTCTTCAGGGGACCTCTACAAGTAGAAATAATAAATACATCAAAAAATATAGATGGTGAGACGGAACAATAATTACAACCGATAATTTTCGCAACTGAGAATTATAAATATTCTAGATTTTGCTCCTCCAAAAAGTTATTCAGACGTTATTTGATATTTAAAATTGGATTATTATTCTTTAACTGTATTAGATTGAATGCTATCATAAAAAAGTAATTTCTCATTTTTAACGATTTTTGAATATTTAAACTAACAACTGAAACATACAATTAAATTAAAAAGCGTTAAAAGTATCAAATCATTCATAACTAGTAAAATAATTTGAAACCCACTTACTCAGATCGAGATCTTATAATGTTATGTGGTGTTGTCAGAGTCGGAATGGAACGTGAGGTGGAGGGCTGTTCACCTTCAGCGACCACGTATAGCGGCTGAGCATTTTGAACTGCCATATCAGACCAGTAAAGGTAGATGCCGTATTTTCCAGGTTGGGATGGATTATATATAACACGATATTTACCATAACCAAGTGACTCGACATCACAACCACTCACTGATTTGCCGTCCCAATCACGAACTTCTGCTCGAAGTTTGCCTGAAATTTTTGATTGTAAGAAATCAAGAAAATATTTTTTACTGAATTCAAAATGACCTCGTTAAAGCAAATAGGATCAATAAAACAATTCAAATACCGCCAAATGGTACAATCATAAATTCTTTTGTGCATTTCTGCAAAAGTCGCCACAAAATGAAACTACTTAGCTATGGAAAACTTAAAATTCTGGAAATATTTAAAATTTATGAGAATAATTTTTTCAGACAAGAGATCTACCAGATCCGGCGGCTGTAGCATCAACGTCGATGACGTTTCTTTGCTGTACTGCAAACTGATATATTCCATCTTCATCGGCCAAATTATCATTCACAATTACTTTCCGTGGATCAACAACATCGATCTCGAATGGACTTCCTGAATGATTCATTTTACTCCTAATTAATGGATTAGTCATTAATAAAGAATTCGGTAAAGAAACGAAATTAGTCAATACTGCTATGAAAAAAATTACCCGAAATAGCTCGATTGTTATGCTCGATGTTTAGTAAATGACGGCCCACTTCTGTTGGTGTAAACGTAATTTCGGTTGTTCCATCCGGATTTTTGTTTGCTGCATGCCGAATTTTTGCTTTTTTCGGTCCTATTAAAGAGTGATTGTTTTCTAATTTGCTGAAGTTTTTATTAAAACATCAATATGACAAAAAATTATTTTAATATGACAAAAGAAGAAATTTCGCGAAGAGGGATAATTCAAGTTGTTTAGAAAAAAACAAAACAAAGTCATTTTATTTCAAGCTTTTTCTTTAAATTACCTATATAACTACTTTATCAGTTAAATATTTATTCCTAATAAAAATTTTAATTTTGATCAAATGAAGGACAAAGAGAACGAATTCACTAGGAAGTGAAAATAGAAATAACTGTTCGAGAACTGATAAATTTTATATCCTTAGAAAAACTTGAGCGATTTGTTGTTCCATACCTCGCACATCGATTTTTAGATTCCCTTTTACATTTTTAGCATCAAAAACGATGCTCGTTGGACGATCCACTTCAACAGGATGTTCGGTGACGGATCCGCGTAAAGTAGGCTTGCCATGCTCCTCAACAGTCAATGTATGTGATGTTCCTCAAATATAAACAATAAAAACTCCGGTTATTATTATTATTATTTATGAACCTTGCTATTTATGAAATGGATAAGAAGTAAGCCAAAAGATACATGAAATCAATAATAATAATTTGCAATGCCATTTAAAAAACATTTTCTAATTATTATTTCAATCTAGATTTTTACCATTAACAAGGAAACCGGCTAATTTTGTGGACAACTTATATTGGCCAGTTTTTGTTGGAATAAATTCGAAGACATCATCACCATCGGGAGTTGTCTGCATATCCAATCGAACCGGTTCATTAGATGGATCAGTCAGTTCTACTGTCAAATCATCGCTGCCTGCTAGCTGACGATTCACTATAAACTTTTAAAATTCTTAAAATTCTTCAGCAGGATATAATTTTAAAAATATATTAGCAATATTGCAAGAAAACAAATCAAATATGCTGCAAAACAACATGTCAGTAGCAAATTGTAAAAAACTTACCGGTAATTATCGCAGGTTGCTTGATAATAAATGGTTCATTGATACCTTTAATAAAAACTTTTCGCGGGTCAACCACCATGCATTTAAATGGGCTACTAGCTATTGGTGCATCAGCGAATGTTATTTCAATTTGATGAAGACCTGAAGGTAAAAAGTCATAATTTCTGAATGAGATGATTTATAAGTTCTATGATTTCAATAAAAAAAACATTATAATTTGCAAACTATTTATTCAATATACTTCCAATCGCTCAAGCTAAATCGGTTAAATCGTTAAATCAGCTATAGCATATTTAATGTGAAATATTTTACAAACAATTTGCTCGTTATTTAAAGGCCTTTGTATATATACTGAGAACATGAGGAGGAAACTTTTAAAGTAATCGAACTGATCTCTTTGCATAAAATGTGATAAATAATAAACAAACAATATATGCGTTCGATACTAAATTCTCAGTTGAAAATTTACTTATGAAAATTTGTTCGTAGTTACTTTTTTTTATTTTTAAGTAATTCGATTTGAATTTTTATTTCGTTTAGATTTTTATTCCAATGTTAGCATTATATTTTATTTTTTTATTTTTATTCAAACTGACCTTAGAATACCATCAAGGCAGAATGATAAAACTAAGAGATATGAAATCAAAAAAAGCCATAAGGAAATTTTCTTAAATTAAAAGTTTCATTTCCACAATATTAAAATTTTATTCATTTCAATCTTTAAGCTTTTTTTGATCATCTATTGAAAAAACTATACCGATATTTTCAGGTGTAAATTCCACCCAATAACTATCATCATGTTGTTTGTAACATCGAACTGGTAATGGTCTACCTCGTGAATCTGAAAAAAAGAAAAAAATCACAAAAACAAAATAAATTGAAAGTTAGACAAGAATAGAGAAATTAGTGAAATTGCAGCGCGGGCAATACAAACATGTGATATTACATACAACGAAGTGCAACAATGACAAAAACTTCATGAAAATCTAACAATTTATGCCAGATTTTACTAATGACGAAACATGGGACCTGAAATTAGCTTATTATATTATAATAGAATACTTTTACTTATTTCCAATTTTATACATACATTTCTAAACTAATACTTCATTGCAATAAAACACTGAATTTAAAAACTCTTCCACTATTTAATCTAAAACTTTGATCTAACTTTTAAATATCAATCATGTCATGATTAATTGCGTCAGTGCGTATCGTCAATGCGTAGTTACAGAAAAATTGCAAAAGTTTTCGAAGACTTGAAGGATAAAATTTAGATTTCAGAAATTCATAGCATACTTACTTATGTGCTACCAAATATTTCCACACTGATTTAATGCAACTTTTAGTAAAAGAAAAAAATCTTTCATGAGAAAGCAAAAATACCTGAAACTACTACATCCAGTTCACCACGTTCAGTGTCATTTAATGAAACTTCAAAACGTGCCGTTTTGCCACGTTGTGCACGTGTCAATGCATCACCACGTGCTCGTACCGATCCAGCATCACTTATGATACATTCATACGGACATTCTGCAATATTATAAGAAAAATGAATTATATATTAAAAAAATCCTAAGAACGATCAAAAAATTAACTATAGCAGTTTAAAAACTTGCAGTAGAAAGAGTTAAGACGGAAAATTATAAAGACGGAAAATTTTCATTTCTTCCGCTTTGATCAAAGCTACCACTTGCCTTCGAGTCAAATAACCCATTCTTATTCTCTGTCAACCACTGAATACTCTTAAAAAGCTACAGATAATAAAGACCAGATAAGTTGAAAAAAAAAGAATATAATGCTCATGAATGATCCAAACGAAAAGGTTTTCTACTTTTTTTCTTCTTACAAGGTCTTCTATATCAAAAGTCTCATAAATATATAAATGAAATGAAAAGATGAATAGGAAGTGATTTCTCTGTTGTAAGAAAAAAAAATGGCTCATTTCAATTCGGAAACTGTACCCGGCAGAAGCGTTTCATCGATCATCACATCTATCAAATGAAGTCCAACCTGTCGTGGTATAAATGAACACACGTGTAAGCCTTTTTTGATACGTTTCATCGTACATGGTACGTCTTTACCACCACATGTTACTCGTACTGCTGCATTTGTACCACCCGAATTTGACCAATCCACTAAATGATTATTTTACAAATTGTGAAGTTTTAAAGTCAATTAATTTCTGAAATATTTCTTGTATTTTTTGATATTAATCAAAATTAAAGAAGTATGGATAAAAAATGCATTAAGAAAAAAAATTGAACCATTGAAACATTGTTCGATCCCGACACGATCATTTTTTAGGCCGATCACACGCACAGCGCTTAAGTCCAGTACCGAAATCTTGAAAGGACTTCCTCGAATGTGTTCATCGCCTACTAGTATTGATATATTATGAACACCTTCTGTTCGTGGTGTAAACTCCACTTCGAATATTTCATCGGGAAGTTTCCTCAATGATACTGGAAGCGGATTTCGTTCTGAATCTGAAAAATAAAAAACGACTTCAAATATGTCTCAGCCTGAAATTTGCATGTTAAACAAGACCGCCAGGGTTTAAAATCTGAATTTCTTAATGAAATACTTAAAGTATGTGAAACATAAATAATGTCACATTCGTGTTTTGACAATGTGGCTATTCAAAAAAATTTCAAATGACGATTATCTTATTTTAGATAGATAATTTAACTAATTAAAATACCAATTAACAATTACTCAAACAGATAATAATATGAGCATTTATTGAACAATTAAATTTAAGATGTGCTAACCAACGATAACAAGAGATAAGTGTTTTTCAGCATCAGGTTCGGTTCGTATAATTAGTTTAGATGGCCAACCAACTAAGGCGTGCTCAATGTCACCGATAATTGTAGCACCGCGACCGCTTTGAATAACCTGAACATACTGTCGTTCACCATAAGGTATTTCATTGATAAAAACATCCAAAGAATAACGGCCTATATCATGAAATCTGAAACAAATAAAAAATAGAAGAATTAAGAAATCGTAACAGTGGAAATCTCTCACTCGCACTCATATAAATATATCGAGAAGATATCCAAGGTAAACCTAATATAAACAATTTCTGCTTACATTGTTTCAAAATAGCAATTTTTGCAGAATGAAATTACAGTTTAATAAGTCGTGCTGGTAAACAATAAATTATTATTTTAACAATAAATCATTATTCTATATTTTAGTCCTACGATCTGTTCCGTTTAAAAAATTAATCTGTTGGGAAACTTTTTCATCAAAAAATAATTACGTGCAAAAGGCTCGAACAATTCCATCATTTCCAGTTTTTATTTTTGCTGGTATCAATTCATTCTTGGCATTCTTAATTTCTATTTTCACATCCTTCTGTGCTTTCATATCACCTGTGTCCACTAAAGCAACAGAAAATTTTTTGAGATTGAATGAGAGAAAAGAAAATGCAAAGTATCTTAAGATATTTTATCATTGAAATTCACTTTACTCTTTAATTCTATTTAACTGAAGTGATTGTTCAGCGATTTCAGTTTTTCTGAATTAGTTCTTTTTATAGTTATTCCTATTTATGGATGTTAATATTTTAGAATAAGATTAAGACGACTAACATTCAAAGACAATCTCCTTGTCAGCAAGAATAGTCGATGGAATACGGGCAGATTTTGATGATTCCAAAACTTTCATTACAAATGGCCCGACACCAAGTTGTTGACCATTCACAGCGATATCAATTTCATGCTTACCTATAGTAATGAAAATATATGCTAAAATAACAGGTAAGTTATATTCTCTTCTCCAAACTAATATTTTTCAATCGATTTTGAAATATTTGATAAAATACATAAGTTTAAAAGTTTATTAATAATTGTTGCACACAAGTGTATATTCTAATCATGCATTCATTTATTATTTACTAATAAATGATTGTATTTTCATACTATTTTCAATAATACAACATTGATAAAATTATTTTTAATAATTAACTGTCAAAGAGAGAGAGAGAGGAGAAGAGAAAAAAACATTAACCTGATATCAAAGGTCGAAATTGTATATGATAACCATTGAAGACTTTTTCCACTTCAACATCCAATTGCTTACCACGCGGATCTGAATTTCAGCATTCCTCTGTGCAACACGGAGAAACGAACAAAATAGAGACGCAATACGAACAAAATGAAGGACAGAAACGGTGCAATTTAACAGGTAAAACAAATGACAAATTCAAGTAAGCTTCAAGCAAAAAGCAACTAAATCAAATTTTTGTGTGTAAAAGGCATTTTTGACAAAATCGGAGAAAGGATAAATAACTTTGGTAATGTTATTTCTGATAATTAATACATTCAATTTTATGCAAAGTAATTAATTATTTTTTCGATTTAATGTAAGTGAATGATTGATTCATTATTTATGTTCAAGAAATAAAAAAAAATATTTTTCAGATTACAACTCATCTCCGATTTTGTGAGACAAACAGTGATGTTATATCATTAATAATTTCAGAAACGAACCAATAACAGTAACATTGCAATCACTTTCACGTCCGCCCGTATCAATGCTGAAGCTTTTTGTTTGTCCAACCTAAGCAAAAAAAAATTATGGATCTAAGCAGTTTATGATTTCTGGAAATTCAAATTTTATTGGAGATGAAACATGTTTGATTTTAAATTGGTTGACAAACAAGTAAAAAATTTGCCAAAATAGAACCGAAAAAAAACTTGGCACTATACCTCTCCTACAGTCAAATCACCAACTAAACGAATGTCTTGATCAGATTCTGCGGTGTTCATCGATCCTGACATATCCGCAATCATTTGTGATGATCTTTCCCGTACTGGACAAACCATTGGTGAACCTGAAATTTGTATATCTTATACATGTAGTAACGCCATATTTATTAATGAATTGAATTAAGTAGTTTTCAAGATATAAATATGATGAAATCGTTCAATTTTTTTTGCAAAAATACAAATAATTATAATTACCTGGAATTGGATCACCATTAAATCGAACACTTATAAGATGATCTTTAGCTTCCTGCGGTGTAAATGAAACTTTAAACTTCGCTTGCCCTTCTGCCTAAAAATAAGAAATACAATAAAATATCTGATTGGAGACGATTGCCCATTTCTTATCTTTTTCTCCCAGTTTTTCTCATTAATTCATTAATTCTGACCCTATGAGTCATTTTTCTTTTCTCTCCCAATTATGCGAATCAATGCAAGGTGATGATAAAAAACAAAGATTGAAATTGATATTATCATCCAAACCTGAACAAAATTTGGCACATTTCGATTCTCAACACTGACAATAATTTCCATATTGCCAGCTCCAGCTCGAGCAGCATCAATCATGAATGTACAAGGACGCCCAACAACCGCTTCTTCTATACATGACAATTTAGCACATTTTGCATCAAATGCTTTGGAAGTAAACGGAGATCCAGGAACTGGTTTACCGTCACAACTTACATCAATCTGAAAATTAGAAATCATAAAACAATAGAATTTTTGCACCTTTATGAAATATACTAACCATAAGTGATAAGAATACTACAAAAATATTGTAAATGATGTTAGCTGTCATTTACTGAAATCAAAATATTAAAAGAAATGCAAATTAGAATATGAAACATTCACGTTTTTCGGTACCGTTTATTTTAAATGTCGAAATGGCACATACATTTTGTATATGAAATATAACTCACTTGATGATTTCCGACATTTTTTGGCGTGTATGAGACGATGTACTTCTTATCCTCTGTATCACTCTTTGATATGCTAGCCGGAATGGTATTATTCTGTGAATCGGTAATGCGTATCTGCGGTAACATATCTTTCATACCCTCAATAGCTACATAAATTTGTGCTGTTTGTCCAACCGGTATCCGTTCCAATCCGGGACCAGAAACTGTTACCGACTGTGCCGTTACCAGATGACAAATGAATGGACTCCCTAAATTAATTTTATGTGTTAAAAAATTAACAAATCAAAGTTTCAAAATTCTCTCCCCATTAACAATGCTCTAATTAAAGAAACCAAAGAATGATAATAACAACTGGAAAGAACAAAATTTATATAAGAAACGAGAAATTATACTATCATTTGGCTATCAAAGAACCAAAGTGTAATGTTCTTCAAAATTTGATATTTAAATAAATTAGAAATTAGAAATCTAAATAATTTACAATAAAATTTTTTTAATATTTACAATTCTTTCCTATGGTGTACAACTGAAATAATTTTTACTTTCTTAAGTGTAAGTTCCTTATCGAAAATAAATGTATCAGATTTTATAAGCTATAAGCTCTTCATGCAAAGCAGATATTGGGATTCTTTTTACCTTTCATATTTGGCCCGAATTTTAATAACCATGACTATCATTTTGTTGAAGAGTTCATTTAAAATGAGAAAATTTCATTCATTAGTGCTCAATGTCGTTTTAATTTTTACTTACCTGGCACAGGTTCATTATTGAAACGAACAGATATAGTGTGATCGGCAAGTTCTCTCGGTACAAAGGATATATCATAGCGATGTTGTCCAAGTGATTGCGCCATCGATGGAATGCGCCCATCATTTACTGCTACTTCCAGGTTTCCAACACCTGCTTGACTTGCATCCACTACAAAGGACAAGAAAATCAGAAGAACTTCTGATTTTATTCTGATTTTTTAATTTCAAAGGAAGATAAACTATGGAAACAATTCTAAATATAAGTTCAATTAAGAGAGTCATATTGTCGAATGATTTTCGTCGAATACGTTTTTAGCATACTCCGAATTGTAACGATTAAAACAATCATCCTGAACAATAAACTGTCTTAAATTTATTACTGCATTTTTTACAGAAAACAAACCAATGAAATGGACTGCTTTATCGACCACACTATTAGGAATATCACCGACGCTAATTTTCGCTGGATCATATGCTCGACAAGTAAACGGACTGCCTTGAACATCCGCGCCTGCATATTTAACTTCGATTTCGTGATCACCTGAAATGATGAATTATTAAAACTAGTTGTTACCCATCAAAATTAGACATCTAAAATAGGTCAAGATTTTTGGCATGAAGTAAAAGAATAATAATGAAGTAAATGAAACGAAAAAAAACAAATTTGAAAACACGAAATTCTTTGAAGAGACATACCCACTTGCACGGGTACAAATTCAACTTCCTTAACACCAGGTTCATGATCGGATATTGAACTTTCAATTTTTCTTTTTTCTGGATCTGAAATGCAAGTTTTATGATGTAATTACTTGTCGGTTATATTAGCATAGTTCTCTCATCATTTTTTTTGGAGTTTAAAAACTTCATAAATATTATTAAACTTTTTTCATCTTCACTTTCAGAAAATCAAACTTACAACTTAATTATTACATCTTTTTTGTTAAAAAATATTTTTAAAACTCGCCTATCACTGTAATATCAAGTGGTTCATCGCCAGCCACTGTAATAAGAATCTGTGCCGGTCGTCCAACTCGACTTAATGATGGAATTTTGGAAACGCTTGTTCTCTTCTCCATTTGATGCTTCTTTTTCTTTGCTTCTTTTCCCTAAGAAAATAAGCATTATAAGTTTTAGAATTTTTCAATTTTAATTTCCTTTTCTTATGAAAAATTTTTTCTCCCAAAAATATAATACTTTATTCTTCTTTAGTGTTTCAGCCATTAATTTTTCCTCTTTCTCCTTTTTTATACGCTCTTTTTCTTCACGTTTTTTCTCTTCCTTTTCCTTACGTGAATCTTTTTTCTTTCCATCCATCAAACTGCAATGATAAATAATAAGTAAAGTTTAATTTGAATTTTATTTCACGTTGGAAATTTAATAAATCTTTTCATTCCTTAATTTTTTCTCTTCTAAGATTTCAAAATCGATAAATTCACTTCATAAATAATATTTCTTTGTAACAAAATTTAAAGTATAATAACTAAAACATACAGATTTTCCATTTCTTGGCCTGACTTTTCATCCACAATATTTACTTCGAATGGACTGTCTAAAAGCAAAACAGTAAACTATGAGATACCGTAATTGGATAGGTTTAAAAATTAAGTAACGATTTCCAAAATTAAGAAAACAATAATCAATGAAAGAAATTAAAGGAAGATTTTATGAATAATGCTAATATAAATAATTTAACAATTAAGTAAGCATACTTTTGAGGATTTCCTTATTGAATGTAATATTAACAGTATGCATTCCTACGGTGGTCGGATTAAATGTCACCAAAAATTTAGCAGTTCCCGTTTCCAGTTGTGCTACATGAGATGGTATAATAATACCATCGCTATCTTTGATTGCCATTTCAAGATTTCCAAAACCTGCTCGGCCAGCATCAACTGCAGCAGTGATATCATCAGTGTTGTAATTTAGAATATGAGCATATATTTAAAATACTTAATAGAATAATTTTATAATTGTAATAATTGATGTTTGGATGGAGAGAATTTCATTTCTTTTTTTAGGTCGAAAATTAAGATTTATTTAGACTTGCTTCAGGACAATAAATTTATTTACAACAGCCGTACTTCTGTTTTATGGAATAAGTAAACGTATGGATGAATTAATGATAACGGCAATAAGACAATCAGTTTCACATCCGATTTCATTTATATCGCAGGATGAATACTTCAAAAGTTATACTAGCTATGCTTATCTCTTCACATATTGATGCCTAAACATTGCTCGTTATAATCTTTTAAAGCTAACCGGTAAATTCAACGGTATCACTGATATTACTTTGGGGCGGAATTTCTCCAACAATAATTTCTGATGCATCGTAGACACGAATTGGAAAAGGACACATTGGATGCAACGTATTATTTACATAAACCATTACCTTAAATATTAAACTATTATTAATTTCATTCCATCTTTAACAGTTCAGTAATTATTTAACTTCTATTACTGTTTATTTGATTAAATATCAAATTGATTGCGGTTATTTTCAAATACGAATTTCAGCATAATTCTTAAGTAAATATTGAAGAAACATTCACAAATCAATATAATACTTAATTCTCATTAACAAATACACCTTATGTGTTCCAACTTCTGATGGTCGGAATGATATCTCATAGGAATGACGAGATTTTTTCACTTTCGGTTCAATTTCTTCACGTTCCACCCCACCTTTCGGTGCCACTGCAAAGATTTACAAAAAGTAAAAGTAAATGAAGTAATAAGTATAAGTTATTCATGATTGTAAATCATAATCAGCAAGCAAATTATCACTTTAGTGATCACAACTGATAGAAAAATAATCTTGGTGTTAATAGTATTTTCTTCAAATTGCAACAAGAAAAATCCCCGCACTTCATCATGATACTTATAATCAATTTATTTTCAGTTGATGATTCACTAAATTTTCACCAATAATTTCTCTAATCCAACTTAATTTGTTGTCCACTAATTAATGATTGATTGAATTTCCAAATGAAACTATGTACAACTTACATAATACAACAGCTTTTAGCTGATCATCTTTGCCAAGTTTCAATGAATCAACTTTCACGTCAACATCTTTTCCACGTCGTACTATTTCATGCTTAGATGTTATTTTTGATTTACCAAAATTGAAACCACCTTCTTCAGTCCCCTTTTTCTCCTTATCCTGAAAGCGATATCTGGACATTACACAATTATTGAGTAATATACGAATGAATTTGTTTCAAATGATTTTACTGTAAAAAAGTCGAGCAAATTGTTGAAATGATGAATTAAGAGAAAATTCGTTTGTCAAGTAGAATGTATGGATTTTGTCCACTTCATGAATATTCATGACAAAACCGCCAAAAAAGTTCTTAGGAAAATTAACTATAAAACATGCATGCCAACCGCAAAAAAAACAAACTTTTCCGAATTTTAAATTAAGTCTAGGAGTTGTTCGAGGTGTGGATCTCGGTGAAGGACTTGAGGGTTTCGACTGAGACAACTCAAATTCATCACGATCCAATCCTTGCATTGATTGCAAGTCGTCTTTCAACGTTTTACGTGTTTCTTCGCGTTTTTCCTGAATAATTTTGCTTAGAAAAGGTCAAATAAAGAAAAAGAAAAGGACAGAGAAATTCAAATTTTCAATTTTCCGTTTAAGCAATCTGTTAGAAGAAAGAAACAAATGAAGAATTGAAAAATAAAAAAAAACTGAAATGAAAATAGAAATATTTCCGTTTGTTGCAAAAAAGTTTGGAATGTGAAGTAATTCCAAAAAATAATACATCGATTGATTTTTACTTCAAAAACTGTTATAGTATCTCTCTATCATTTATGAGAAAAATAATTCCTTTTGAATAATCTGTGAAATAACTCCATGGAAGATTTCATGTAACTAATCTAAACTGATAAATTCTATCCGATAAGAAAACAATTATCTAATTAGTTTTATTAAGCTTTACAATAGCTGAAATAACATCAAAATATGAATCTGATGAATATCGAAATAAAATGAGCAATCAGAAAAATAAAAGCTTCTCTTCTAATATATTATCCGGTAAGTCAGGTTTTTTGAAAAATCTTAAATTTAATTAAAATTTGGATCATACGTCGAGTTCTTTCTCGTGTCGGATTTTTTGTTCCTGAAGTTTTCGTCGTGTTCGTGGTGTTAATGTTGCTTCTTCAGTTATATCTGTCATATGATTCTCTCGTTCGCTATATTCGGGCTTTGGCAATCTGAAATAATCTGGTAATTATCATTTTATTAAAAGAAAATACTTTGAAAAGCAATTGGAAATTTACAATCTACGATCTTTCCATATATTCTCGGTTTTCAAGGCTAATTAGAAGGAATCTGATGCACACTCATAGAATCTGACACACTCTTCATCTTCATTTTGCATCTCAAATTATCTGATGCATGCAGACAGATGCCAGGAATTTATTTCACGTAAACAAGCAGAATTTAAAAAATTAGAAAATAGAAAGGTAAAATTTTAAAATTGTAAAATTTTAAATTCTAAAAATGTTGTTGAGGTAATTGAGAGCACTAAAAATGGATGGTGTAAAACGACTGAAACATTAGCACAATGAAATGTGATGGGTAAAAAATGTTCAATTAAATGTCGGAAAAGAATGGAAAAGAAAGGAATTTGGAAATAGGGTCAAAACATGAAGAGATCAATGAAAGGCCTCTCCTGTCACCATACTGTCATCATTTACAATAATAATAAAGTGTATAGTATGCTCAGCTTATTTATTTTGAACATGAAGGATTTTGATGAGAATTCAATTAGGATTATTTTTTCAATAAGCAAATGAAAGAAACATGAATAAGAGGAAGAGAGATAAAAAGTAAAGGTAAAAAAAGGAAAATTTTTATTAGCAAAAATGAATATTATCTTTTGTGTGACCTATTAAAAGTTATAAGATCAGGTACTTTTTTTTGGTTCTCATTGCTTAACTGATCAATTTAAAATATAATCCAACAGCTGATAATTCTGTTAACTCTTCGCTGTCCTTATCAGTTAGTATTTATTATTACTGTCAAGATTATCATGATCACTATTATTATAATCAACAATTTGAAATAATGATATCATCCATATTACTAATCCTTACTGAATCGTATTGCCTGTGTTTGTGCGTGCCATAATATTTCATTTTCTTTAAGTTTTAAGTTTTCTAGAAATAATACAACAATATCGCATCAGCGATGAGAAAGCAAATGATGAAGGAGTTTTTCCTTTTTTTTTTTAAATCATCTATCATGTCTCATTCTCAGCGCTGAAAATTTCATCAATATAATATTATCAGTATCACTATTAACTGGGACATGAAAAGAACAACATTAAGTCTGCAAATTACGATACGGAATCGATTCATAACAATTCACTGATATAATAATGATGTCGTATTAAAATTAAACCTTTGATATTAAAGGACATTAAAGAATTATGATAATTATAGAAGTATATTTCGTAAAAGTGATAAAGTAGCATAATATCTTATTGTTAATATGTAGAAGAAAAGTAAAGGTTAAATTATTAAAACATGCTTAATTATCATGAAATATTTAGATACACTAATTACATACATTCCATGCATTTTATTAATAAAATTTACAAAAATTGGAGAAAAAAATTTAAGCAAAGAAAAAATAATAATGCTAAACCGTTGTGATGGAAGAACTGAATCCATCTCCCGGAATGCACCAAATTTCTCATCCTCCATTCCTCGCATATAATCGGCTGTCCGTTGTGGTGGCGCTGATAGAAATGTTGGTTCCATGTCGCGATCTCTGGAATTTCCAATTAACAACAATTACAACTCCACACATTACTACACCATTGTTTCTAATATTTTTTCAATCCTTTTACAGCTCATTATATAAGTTTTTTTGATGGTAAGAAAAAGTTTACAGAAAAAAAAGAAAAATTCAGGACATAATTAATAGACTTCTCTATGTCAAAACTAGTTCTTTTATTTTACGATATTTATAAAATGTGTATGAATTATGTATGTGACACCTAAACACACATACACACATATATATACATTAATTGACCTATTCATTTATAATACTAATATCTAATAATAAAATTTACACATACCTGCTTAAAGTTTGAAATGATTCCACAACGGATTGTGATGAATCGCGAAATCGTCGTCCATCATCCCATCTTACATTTGCGTTACGATAATTTTGTTCATCAATATCTTGAAAATAATACATTATTAGACTTTTAAATTTTTGAAATAAAAAAATTTGAATATGTGATCGCGAAATAAAATATTTGAAAAGTTATAAAAAGTTTATAGAATTCAAAAAAAAAGTTTGTCATTTTACGGTAATAACAGGATGTTTTGCTAGAATATCATTCAAATGTGAAGTAAAAGAAATGAAATAGTAAAGACAATTATTCAGAGAAGAAAGAAACGAAGGAAAAAAAAGAATAAAGCAAATGATGGTGTTTTCGGATATCACCTGAATACTGATGACCCTCTCCTATTTCCGCCTTCCCATCCCTAGCTGGTAACTTTTTCTGATAATGTGCAGTATCCGTATCCAATTGTTCAACTGATTTCCAATTTTTCTTCAATTTTTCCATTTCTTCGGAAGGTTCCAAAACTGTTGTTGATACAGTGCTAATTTTTTGTGAAGCTTTTTGTTGCCTGTCAATTGGAATATCTGATCTGGCACGACCATAAGATGCTATTATTGGCGCTTCAAAACTTGGTCCTTTAGTAGCTAATGACGATTCATCGGCATGTTTCGAATATCCATTGGAATAAAATTTATCCGAGTCAGGCTTATTTTTAGGATATCCACCAGATGGCATGAGATCATGCATCGAACGGTAAGGCTCGTAAGATGTTTTTATCATATCAATATCACTTCTCGATGTTTTACTTCCATCTGGTTTCATTGATTCTTCACCAAAATATTTCAATTGCGTTTGCTTTTGGTCTGATATTCCTCCTACATTTCCTGTACCGTATTGTCGAATGCTGTAACTACTTGAATCCAAATCATGATATTCACTTGAAGATTTAGTATCATAAGGTCGACTATCTGTTATATAACTGCTACCACTTTCCGGTTGATCGAATGATTTAACCTTATCTTTAGTATCATAATCTATAATTCTTGATGGAGATGATCGAGAACCATTCAGAAATGATGAATAACTACGTGAACTAGCAGGCTGATTATTAGGATCAGATGGCATCGGTGTAGCTAGTTCCTTGGACCTTGGAGCTTCAAAAGTCCTGACTTCTGTATACATTGTTGGTGTAGCAATTCGTTCATCATGTAATAAAGTGGTCATTGTCTCTTTTGCGTATTCATACGTTCTAGCTGGTGATACATTGCTGTAACGTGTTTCAGCAATATAAGTGGACGTCACGATACCTCGTCCATCATCTGCAAATTTCATACACCATCTATCCAACAACTTCATTGCATTAGTTTTTGTATTAACTAACAAGTAAGTTCGTTAACATCAATTGAAAATTACAAACACTACTAACCTGTAAAAGTTCGACTACTGACTGTTTGTCCGGGTGCGACATTAGTATTACCAACTGTACCATTACCATATTGCGCCACCATATAACCCAAACGATCATCCTTTTTTTCAACCAAATTTGATGATGTCTGACCAGTTTCTCGTTCTTTTTCTCGTCCTATTGGATCGTAATCATCAATTTTTCGTGTTCTAAATTATGCAAACTTCATTTAGCATATAAGAAAGCAAAGCTAAAGATAGAATGAGAAATGGATAAAAAACAAACCCTTATAATTTTATTCCTTTTTGTTCATTTATCTTTCTCATAAGTTTATTAATATTTTTTTCTTAAATCTAAATTGAAATTGAAATTGTATATTTCAACTTAAAAAAAGTGGACAATTTCCCATCAATCTTATTAAGAATGAGAGAATAAATAGATATTAATGATGAATGTATGTGTCATCGATAATTCAAAATAGCAATTGAAAAGTTTAATTAACTGTTAAATACATAATTTAGAGCAAGAATTATGAAAGAAAAATAAAATCTCTTTTTTAACTTTCTAAAATTTGAGTCAAAGATTATGAAAGAATAATTTTGAAAGCAAAATGTGAGATTTAACAACAGTCAATTAGCGCCCTCTCGTATCTTGTTATATCTTGTAGTTCTGCTCCATTCAAGTTAAGTTAAAAGTCACTCATCATATTCATTAGATTAGCAAAAACAAAGTTAAAGTTATAAATTTAGGGTTTAATCACATATTGAATATTACTCTCAATATATGAGAATTGTTGTTAAATGGATTCTCAGTAATTTTAATCATTTTAGCTTTTGCAATGATTTTTTAAAAGTTTGATGACAGCTTTCTTAATTAAACAGTGCACACCTATGCCGATTTTCATCTACAGGAGCAGAAGTTTTGGGTTCAGTTTTTCGTAATAAATCTGATGATTTAGAATGTTCTTGGATAGATGATCGATCAAGTGACTTTTTACGTGTGTGTTTCGGGAAAGCAGAAGAACCGGATGATTCCACATTATCTTCCATTGCTAATCCATAAAATTTTGGCCTTTGCCCTGCAAAATAGAATTTCTATGAAGAACTTTCTTGTTTGCAAAAAATTTAAAAACACTGTAATACACGAATCTTTCATATTTATTTAAAACATTCTCGGAATTTAAAGTTTATTAATTTTTCTTTCTGAAGATTCCGAACAAATTTGTAAAGCAGTAAATTTATTGTTAGACAGAAATATTTGAAGTATCTTTCAATAAGAATCAAATTTACTGCCTATCCTACCTATCTTAGTTACTAATTAAGTATTAATTTAATGATTAGGATATTCTCAAGTTAGAAATTCAATCAATTAATGTTTTCCTGATTCATGGATTAATGTATATGTTATATTTTATTGCAAAATAAATGAGTGAGAATCTATCCGATCAAAAAATGATACAAATTTTTTAAACAGGTATTTATAGTGCAAACGAAAATAATGGATGGAAATATTAAACTGAATAATCGCCCTTATCAGACTTAATTTATCATATAGTATTTTAATAAAAATAAACATTCTGCTCTGTTTATCATAAAATTTTCTTATTTGGAACAAATTTCGGAGGAATTTTATAAAATAACTCTCTAAATATACAACAAAACTGAATGGATAATAAGCGAATTTCCTACGATATATTCGGAAAATTTTCTATCAATTTGATTGTTAGTTACTTATGCAATAATCTTTAATAAAACTTATTAAAAGAGAAGAGATAATTCATTAAGAGAAGAGAAATTATAAGTAAGTTATTCGAAAGAGTTATTATAAGTAAGTGAAATTCATTAAGAGAAGTAAGAAATTAAGTTTATCATTTAAAAATGTTAATTTATATGTTTTTGGCTTTCTTGTTGCAATGACAAAAACAATGGAGAAGTGCATGAATAAGATAAATTAATTGTTACTTAAATGGAATAAAATTTTTTTCCAACTTTTTATATGAGCTTTAATGATTTACATGTTAATATTATGATGATACATAAATAAATATATGATCGATTCGTACAACACATAAATAAATATACGATCGGTTCGTACAGCACATAAATAAATATACAATCGATTCATACAACACATAAATAAATATACGATCGATTCGTACAACATAATCATTAAATATGATTTTTCAGTAAATGATAGCTGTAGATTTTTTTAATATACTGAAAAATTTATATTTATCTAATTTTCGACGAAAAACTTCGCCCAACAATAAATATATCGGGAAATTGAAATTTTTTATGGAATGAAATTTTTTTCACAGTAGAAATTCTTTTACTTATATGCTTATCATTTGATTGGAACAAAAGAAAGAATTTGTTAAAGCGGTAGTACCAAATCCTACAGTAGTATCATAATATCCTAAAGAAAAACAAATTAAAGAGGTAGCAAGAAGAGTTTATTAAAACGGTAATACCATATCCTACGGTAGTACCATAACATCCTAGAAAAAAACAAATTAAAAAAGTAGTAAGAAGAGAAGGAGAAGAAATTAACAATTTTAGACTAAAAATTTGTACTCGAAGGCTTTAAATTTGATAAATTAGAAAGATCAATGAACTATTATTAAATTCTATTTCAATCCAAAAATTTCAAAAAAATGTGATTTTATATTGTAAATGCAAAAGTAAGGTATTCGCTGTGTAAAATTTCCAATTCTAAAATATTTTCTTTTTAAGAAAACTTTTTCTTTTTAGAATTTAAAAAAATTTTTTTAAAGATTTAATCGATTATTCCTGCTAATTACTGCGCTATATAAAATAATGAAATTAAAAAAAATGATTGAAATTAATCCGATAATGATTCATTAAATGAAAAGAGATTGTTTGCATTCTATATTACTAGTATTATTATTATCACTATTATTAGTATTATTATAGACAGCAACAATTATAATACAACAATCATTCCGGAGGAAAATTCGGGTTTAAATTTTACCAAATAACATACCCATTCGCTCACTCTCTCATCAATGGAGTCCATCAATTATAAACATTTTATAAAAACCGGATAGCAAAAACCAGTTTATAACTAAATGCTTCCCATCTCATGATATTAAGTTGAGATGATTCGACAACATACCACCTGATTACATCACATTAAAACCAATGATCACGACCCTAAGAGAAGTTATCTAAAGATTTTTGTCAAAGTTTCATTTTCTTCCTTTTTTCTTCTCGCATTCTTTTTTCTCTCTCTTTAATAATTATATATATATATATATATATATATACACAAGTTGGCATGAATGTTTACTTTTGGGTAAATAAATCAGGGAAAGAAGGGAATTATTAACCATCGAGAGATGACCCATTTCAAATCAAATCAAAAATTACTACTATTACCATTGAAAATGAATGTATCACACAATTGAAGCAATAATTTTAGCAAACGGATAGATTTCAGATGAGAAAAACTTTGATGAATCCTTTCTGAGACTATTCAACAATGAACGTATCAATCAATTAGACTCTTTCTTAATATGTTTTATGTTCAGTTCAGTTTTCAATCAATTATATAATTATCATAATCTTTAGCATTAATAATGATTGTTGAAAGTTTTTTCCATTTTCATCACAGAGATTATTATTTTGCTAATTAATATTGGTTACTGCTAACTATCATAAATGATAGATCATTAAGTAATGATGTAACAATTAATATTTCTCTGAAATGATATCTAGTTTGAGTTTTGAAATTTTGTTAACCTGATGATGGAGATGTGATTGTTGTTGTCTGTTGTGAAAGTATAGGTGTTGAAATGTTTTGGCCAACTTGCTTCGGTAAAATATCAACACGAATTGGACATCCTGAAAAATAAATAAATATATTTGTGAAAATTCATCATCAAAAGATCTAACATATGAATTTTTGCTTTTTTGAGCAATTTTTTTCTAATAGAAATATAAAAAGAATGTAACACAAACTATATATCCTTATATATTTAAATCTTCTATTACTATTTGGTTAAATATAATTAAGCTTAATCCATAATCTCATATCATATCACTTTGGATAACATATACTATTTTATTATCATCAAAATGAAGGAATAGTGATATGGTAATTATTGATTGTAATTCTATTAATAAATAATTTCAAAGATAAAATGTCCCCAAAAGTTTGATCTTAGCAATGAATGACTTTCAAATGCTTTAATATCTAACGATCAAAAAAATTTATTGATAGTGCTAATGACCGAAAATTTAATGATAAAGTATAGAAATGAAGAAATTATTTCTTATCTGATAAAATTATTTCTTATTGATATCTCATAGAAATTATTTCTTATCTGATAAAATTATTTCTTATTGATATCTCATAGAAAAAAGGAAAGTAGAATTTATTCGTAAAAATATAATAGTAAAAGTGAAAAGTCATTCGAATATTGGAATTACAGTGAAATCAATTTTCCCCGATAAGGCGCCATCCATCATATATTAATTCAAATGAACTCCCTTTAAGAAGATGAAAAAATGGTTTGATTGGACTCAATTTTAACTATCTCTTATTCGCAAGGCCTTCAAAAAAATCATCCTAATATTTGTCGCATTGATATTTATGAAAATTTAGTCAATGAGTTAAAACGCTTATCATATAAACAATCATTATTATAACAAAATTCAAAACTCATAAACAATAATTTTCAAATTTAATTCAACTGAGAACAATTCAATTATTAAAAATGATTGTTTATATGATTTGCTGCTAAAATTAATCTAAATTATTGATTCAAATAAATTATGTATTTTGAAATTGTAGAACCAATGAGAAATTTATTTGATATAAAAGAAATAAATAAATGAATGGATTGATAAACAAAAGGCTTTTAATTTTTGAGTGAAAAAGAAGGAAATAACAAATAATGATAACAATGTAGAAATATTTACAGTTCCTTAAAAGAGTAATTTATTATTATTCTTTATATCACTGATTCTTAAAAATTTAACGAACTAAATTTCTCTTTTCTCTTCTTCTTCTTCTCATCTAAAACTATTTCATTTTTATTTTATTCATCATCTCAAATATTTTATTTATTCGTTTATTCTACTACTGTTTATTTTATTGATTATTTACTAATATGGTATTTATTTGTTAATTCAACTAATTGTATGTATTTTTTTACATGCAATCAATTAATTTGTTAATTCAGTTATCTAAACAATCAATTTGTTAATTCATTTATTTCATATATTTTGCTCCTTTCTTTACAATAACACATTTCATCGATGAACAATGATAATTTTGTTTACGAACATTATCATGTGCAAAAATATCATCATCCCAAATTTTATCATTTCCTCCTGCCGTTGCTATCATGAATTATATGTATTATAATTAAGTAAACAAAAAATTAAATTAATATTTTTCAAAAAAATATCAACCTTATATGGAAGTTAAAAAAGGTAGAATAAAAGGTAAAGATTAATTAGAAAAGAGAAAACATACCTTGTACTTGTTCACCATTGAAAGTTACATCAATAACATATTTGCCCGGATATTGCGGAATAAATGTAACCAAACAACGTCCAGCACCTTGCATTTGTACATTATTTGGTACCTTTCCTTGATTGATGCTAATTTCCAGCTGTCCTTTTCCGGCATCAACCGCATCAACTGCAGGTACAACATACAATTGTGATATGTAACGTCGTTTTTCACTCATTTTTTTCTCTTCTTTAAAATTAATTCCGAAATTTAATTCCAATTATCACAGATGAAGAGTTAAAAAATACTTAGTCATAATTAATAATCATTCAAAAATCCAGAATGTTGACGATATAAATTCAAGAGAGTATATATAGGCTACCGATATTGTTATATGTTTGCAATTGAGATGAATCCATGATATACAATTAATTCAGCAAAATAAGTATTCTATTTCATGGTCAGAAATAAAAGATGTATATCAGCGAGAATATACGACAATATTAGAAGTGATAAAAAAGCTGGTAGGAAGGATTTTAACGATCGGTAAGTAAATTTGGCGTGAAAT